ACCGAAATGCAAATGGTTAGGTTAAAGTTTAAAAAGGATCAAAGATCATCGGCAATCTCCTACGCAGAGTTGTCGTTCGTTTCTCTCTACCGAATGTATGAGCCGATGGTAGAGAGTGGATCATCAGATGCCACAATAGACGAATTTCACATTCTGAAGAGTTATCTCCCGTTGTCGACATTACATTCAGTTACAGGCACAGATCCGGGAATTTTTTTCCGGGGGGAGGGGGGGGGGTCCCCTCCTCGGTCCAAAAAATTCCAGCCCAGAATTTCCTGAGGAGCAAAAAAACAAAAAAAAAAACAAACAAACAAAATAAAAACAATGATGGTGGGGTCCATGTTTTTAAAGGGGGAGGGCATCCAAAGTCATTTTTTATTTGCTTCTGTAAATCAGTATATAGTCCTATTTAAATAACTCCGGGGGGGGGGGGGGTCCAATCTCCCTAGCCGCTCCCTGTCCCTGAAATGACAAATGATCATGTGACTCCTAAATAGTAGAAAACTTTTCCATTTGACTATACATAATTTTGTTTCTTGTGTATTATGTTATGTACATCTAATGGTTTAAGGTTATGAACCCCTGGAGGTCATCCCCCCTCTCTTAATGAACTGGAATTATGTTCATAATATGACTACATCAAATTAAATAAAAGTGCATCAATGATAAGATTACTTGACATATATTTCATTCATGAATTTGGGTCAACCCATGTACCCTCCTAGAATTAGGAATGAAAATCATTCAAAGAGATGGACCATTAAACTATTTGTATATATTCACATTTTTTTTTATGTCAAACCAAAGTATTAGACTAGTTTGCATACATGAACAAACAGGGGTCTGGGAAGGGGAAGGGGCAAGGGGAAGGAGTTATCTCTTTACGTCTTATTTGTTGAAAATTCCTAAAATGAATGTTAACCTCAAATCCGACTTGCACGTCTTCATTATTTTTAAGTGGTGGTGTCTCCGTATGAGTGAAAAATTCCCAAGAGGGACATTTAACAACAAACAAACATTAATGACTTAAAAAGCACAATATACATGTACATGTTTATTAGTCAACGGATATACTTCTGATCATATCTCTAGTTCTCCCTTGAATCAGAAATGATGATATAAATATTTTAAGAATGATTAAGAGTTGAAAAGGTTGTGCATTTTAAAATTCACTAAGCTCTGTGGTTGAATTAGCTATACCAGTTTAGCTTATTTTGCTACTCAAAGCACCTTGATTAACTATTTTTAATCATACTGTTTTCTGAAATGTGAAGTTTTTTCAACATGGATACAAGTCATACCTTTTCAGCTTCTGAAAACAATGCATGAAAAAAAACTGCTTTTCAAATACTGTAACTCTTTCCAAGTACTTGTGATCATCAGTTTTTAGCTCACTTGAGTTTTTCTGGTTTTCTGATCACATTTTGTTTGTCATCCATCTGTCAGCCTGTAAACTTTTCACATTTTTGTCTTCTTCACTAGAACCGCTGGGCCAATTTCAACCAACCCTGCCACAAAGCATTTTCGGGTAAAGGGGATTCAGTTTGTTCAAGTGAAGGGTCACACCCTCTTTCAAGGGGGGATAATCAAGAATTAGTGAAAATTTGGTGGTATCATTTTAAAAAAGTCTTATCAAGAACCACTGACTGGGCCCAAAAAGTTGAAACTTTCTTTACATAGACTTAGTGTAGCTTCAAATTTGTTAAAATTATGACCCACTGGGGTAGGGTGGGGCCACATATGGGGATCCAATGATTTACATAGAAAAATGCAGGGGATTTTTTCCATCATAAATCTTCTTCTCATGAACAGCAAGGGCATTATTGTCGTCCATTTTCACAAAAGGGACCATGGGGACATTAAATCTCATTTGTCTGTCAGTCTGTCCGTTTGTCAGTCTGTCCGTCTGTCACAATAAATTTCACCTTGGTCATAACTTCTGAATAATAAGAGATAGGGCTTTCATATTTCACATGTACATTACTTACAAGAACTTTCTAAACATACCATGATTTTTGAACCCATGACCTTGACCTTGAAGTTTGACCTACTTTTCAAAAAATTTAACATTATTTTAAATAATCATTTTGAAAGAGAAAAGATAGGGCGTTCATATTATACATGTATATTACCTGTGACAAGACCTTTCTAAATATATCATGACTTTTGACTCTGTGACATTGACCTTGAAGTTTAACCTACTTTTCAAAAATGTTATATTTCCTTATAACTTTTGATTGAGAAGAGATAGGACTTTTATATTTGACATGTACATTACCTGTAACAATATGTTTCCGAGCATGCTATAATTTTTTTACCCCTTGACCTTGATGTTTTACCTAATTTTCAAAAATTTTAACTTTGGTGATTACTTTTGAATGACATATGATAAGGCCTGCATATTTGAAACAATATGGCATAAATAATGGCATCCCATCCACTAGGACACGGAAAGCAGGGGACCACAATTCTTTGAATTTGCTTGTTAGTCATTTTGATATGGAAACATCTTCATATAGTGTAGATTAAAGTTTTTTATGCCCTGCCATGAATATGGCCGAGGCATATAGTGTTTGTCATGTCCGACTTCAATAAAACGTCATATGCTGATACATACTGATGTAAGCTTTTCAACTGCATCAGCATTTTGACCTCAACCTGTCCTTTGACCTTGACCTCTCTTTTCTCAAATAAGTGTTAAGCTCAGTTTTAAATAAATCATTCAAGATATTTTTATCAAACCTAATATGCTGATATGTATTAGTGAGAGCTATTCAACTGCATCAAAAACTTTTCACCTTGCACTTTCCTGTGACCTTGACCTCCCTTCTCTTTAATTTGTATTTTGCTTAGTTTTAAAGAAACAATCTAAGATATTTTTATGTAAGCATGCACTTATACATAATTTTGTGAGAATTTATCATCTATATCCATTTTTTTTTAGATTTTAGTTTCAATTTTAAAGAAACTGTTCAAGATATTCTCATCAAACTTCATACACTCATACAAATTTTCATGTTGCATTAGTAATATACATTCGGCGGGGCATTTATGTCCTATGGACATATTTCTAGTTTTCAAATCATGACCTCCGAGGATAGGGTCAGGCCACAATAAGGGATCAAAGTTTTATAGAGATTTAAAAGGAAAAAAAATCTTCAAAATTCTTCTTTTTAAGAACAACAAAAGCATGATTAATATGGAAACATTCCCAAGAAGTGTAGATTCAAGTCTGTACAAATCATGACCCCATGGGTTAGGGAGGGGCCATTTTTTTCCTGCCCCTATTTGCTATCCACATGGAAATGCAAATTTTAAAACCATTTTACACATCCACAGGACAAAATCAATCATCTTCCAAATGATCATGATTTAAGGCTAGTGCATAAAATATAAGGGAAGTTCTGGGAACCAGGATATTTAAACATGTTAAATATTTTTTAAAAAAAATTTGACCCCCATTTGACCCCAGGGGGAAAATAAGAATTCCAAAACCTTACTGCACATCTATAGGACACCACCAACCATCTCCCAAAAGATGATTAGGCTACTGTGTAAAATGTAAGAGGAGTTCAGGGAACCAGGGGCTTTTTGCATAAAAAACATTATTTTTCGACCCCTATTTGACCCCATCGTGAAAATGAAAATTCCGAAACCTTACTGCACATCTGCAGGACACCACTAACCATCCCCCAAAAGATGATTAGGCTACTGTGTAAAATGTAAGAGGAGTTCAGGGAACCAGGAGCTTTTTGCATAAAAACGTCATTTTTCGACCCCCATTTGACCCCTAGGGTGAAAATGAAAATTGCGAAACCTTACTGCACATCTACATGACACCACCAACCATCTCCCAAAAGATGATTAGGCTACTGTGTAAAATGTAAGAGGAGTTCAGGGAACCAGGGGCTTTTTGCACAAAAAAAAGTCATTTTTCGACCCCCATTTGACCCCCAGGGTGAAAATGAAAATTCCAAAACCTTACTGCACATCTACAGGACACCACTAACCATCTCCCAAAAGATGATTAGGCTACTGTGTAAAATGTAAGAGGAGTTCAGGGAACCAGGGGCTTTTTGCATAAAAAACGTCATTTTTTGACCCCCATTTGACCCTCAGGGTGAAAATGAAAATTCCGAAACCTTACTGCACATCTACAGGACACCACTAACCATCTCCCAAAAGATGATTAGGCTACTGTGTAAAATGTAAGAGGAGTTCAGGGAACCAGGGGCTTTTTGCATAAAAAACGTCATTTTTCGACCCCCATTTGACCCCCAGGGTGAAAATGAAAATTCCGAAACCTTACTGCACATCTACAGGACACCACCAACCATCTCCCAAAAGATGATTAGGCTACTGTGTAAAATGTAAGAGGAGTTCAGGGAACCAGGGGCTTTTTGCATAAAAAACGTCATTTTTCGACCCCCATTTGACCCCCAGGGTGAAAATGAAAATTCCGAAACTTTACTGCACATCTACATGACACCACCAAACATCTCCCAAAAGATGATTAGGCTACTGTGTAAAATGTAAGAGGAGTTTGAGAAATAAGAGTGTGACAGACGGACGGACGGATGGACAGACGGACGGACGGACAGACATGAGTAACAACAATATACCCGAACTTTCTTTAGAAAGTGCGGGTATAATTAAAGTAATCACAGGATCATTCCTAAATGTGAGGAAGTTTTGTTTTCAACCAAATCAAAATTCTACCATGTTAATTACTGTAAACCAGCTTTTGTTCATGCTGCTAGCCATTTATGTAATTGTGTTTTTATGTAGAATATTTCTCCAGTCATGAAATTCAAATCAATAGTGGCAAATGGATTTCAAACTGATGAATTGGAAATAAAAGCCATTGTGAATAATAATTGGTTTACAAATATATTCATTCAAAAGCAGATGGAGGGCATAAATTATATGATGATTAATTAATTAAATTCACATTAACTTTTCACCATACTTCACCCTTACCATGATGTTGACATTGACAGAAACTGGGATAGGACTAGAGGAGAGTTTGGAGATTTTGAAATTGGTCAGTGGAGAATCTACCACTGGAAGTGGCAAAAACCACACGACTAAGTCAACGGTGTCAGCCCTAGAAAGGTTAAAAGAAGAACAGTCGCTACCCTCAATCATCACTTTCTCACAGAGCCTGGATAATATGCTGGGAGGGGGGATTCCTCTATGTAAAATCACAGAGTTTTGTGGTGCTCCTGGTGTTGGTAAAACACAAATGTGGTATGTCTTTATCAAACTATATGTAACTAATAAATAGTAGTTATCCAGTCAAGAGTTGAGACTAACTGTGGGTATAACTAAGGATGATTCTTTTGTGAAAAGGTATTTTCACTTGGGCTATCTTTAATACAATGTCATGGAGATATATATCAAAATATGGTATGACTTGTTGTGCTAATGATGTGAAGTACCAATAGATTTCACTATAAATGGTCATTTTTATTTTGATAATCATTAATAAATTTTTTGTTTGATGTACTCTGACCCCCATTTTTCTAGGTGGACAGGAAGGTAGGTATATAAACTACAAGTTTATTGATGTTTCATCACACACAGGACAGCTGGATAGATTTAACATGCATTCTCTGTAAGCACCAAAAAATCTTGGAAACGACATCTCTCCGATTTTGATGAAATTTGCACCACAGGTGCAGCTTGGCACAAAACTAGTAAATATGGTGTTAGAAGTTTCACACGTGCACCCGGTTGCCATGGAGACGGATCCATTGAATTTGGCCATGTTTGGCCCTTTTTGACCAAATAAAAACATGAAAATTGAGGAAATGTAAATGCATTTTTATCTTTATGTAGTAAACTCAAACATAAATCATTGTATCATAAGAAAACATCAACTTTTAAGGTATACAGGGCATATAATCGGTTATTCCAGAATTATTCCCACTCTAAGAAAAAGGTCCTGTAAAATGACCTAGTTTCTGAAAATGTGTAAAATGGGAAATTTGGTATTTTTTGAGAACTTTAAGGTTAAATAAAAAAAATTGTCTATGGAAAATTTTCAAATCTTATGTGTGTTTTCATACTTCAGAATTAAGAGTGTCACCTCATGAAAAAATTGGAGTGGGATCTCAATACTATTTTTAGTAACATGTATCTATAAATAGACATATTTCAGAAAAATCTAAAAAATCAATTTTGGGCAGAGTTTAAGATGCCATTGTTAGGTATTTAAGAAATATACTGTAAAAGTCAATATGTTAATGACAGAAACTGGACACCAATAACTACTATGCATATTATTTGAAGGGAGTTCCGTTTTCTATTTATAGCTTCAAATGCCGTAAAATAGACATGTCTCATAATATGTGTAAAAATGACTATTTTCTATCATTTAGAAGCTCCACTAAAACATAAGTGATAAACATACTGCTCTCACCAATATTTCATCAATTAGAACAAGGGATAATACAATAACTCACACATTATTGAGGATAGGCTCTCATTTCTATAAATAGTACAAATGTCTAAAAATAGACACATGGGAAATTAATGACGAAATGTAGATTTTTGCACTATTTCTCACATTAGAGATGAACAATTTGCATACTCACTGTCATTAACTGTAACTGACATAATGTGACTGACAAGTACAGGAGAGCATTAACTGAAATGCAGAATAATAAGTGGAGGTTTCCATTTCTATTTATAGTAACAATTGTTTAAAAATAGACATTCTGCAAATTATCAAGAAAATGTAGAATTTTGCACTATTTTCTCACATTGGGGATGGACAATTTGCAGACAAACTGCTATTTAATTAACTTTTAATAACATAAGGGGAACAACAAGTACAAGAAAGCATTAACTGAAATGCAGAATAATAAGCGGAGGTTTCCATTTCTATTTATAGTAACAAATGTTTAAAAATAGACATACTGCAAATTATTAAAGAAATGTAGAATTTTGCACTGTTTCTCACATTAGGGATGGACAATTTGCAGACTAACTGTTATTTACTGTTGTTGACATAAGGCTACTGACAAGAGCAGGACAGCATTAACTGAAATACAGTACATTCAGTGGAGGTTTCCATTTCTATTTATAGTAACAAATGTTTTAAAAATCATATCATAGAGGAAATGTAGAATTTTGCACTATTTCTCACATGAGGGATGGGAAATCTGCAGACTTATTGTTATAAAGGTTATGTATTCGACAAGAAAAACACAGCATTAACTGAAAAGTAGAATAATCGGTGGAGGTTTCCATTTTTAGCTCTTCTGAGCCAAAGGCTCAAAGAGCTAATGCTATGGCCATTTGTGCGGTGTGCGTAAACTTTATAGAATATGGGCCATAACTCAAGAACCCCTTTGCCAATTATTGTCAAATTTGTTACAGGGTATCCTTGGCCCAACAGCTCCCATTTTTACTAAAACTAGGGTTGTGACCCTTAAACAAGGGGAGATAATTAGGAAAATAGAAACAAAAGTACTGATTGCTAAAAAATCTTCTTCTCAAGAACCACTGGGCAGATTATTACCAAACTTAAACAAAAGGATGAGAATATGTAGTTAATTAAAATTTGCACGGGGAATCACCCTGGGGCAAAGGGCATGGTCTCAAGGTCACTTCAAAGTTGACCAAAAATTACATTATATTAAAATGTTGATATTTTGCTTACTATACGGACATGGATCATCAAATCTTGTCAGTTGATGCATCTGAGGACCTCATATCATGTTGACTCAAAAGTAGGTCACGATAACCTACTTTTTAAATTTTGCGGCCATTCTTTTTCAAAATGATTTAGAGGCATATTTTAAACAATTTAAGGCCTATGATTATTAAACTTTGTCAGTTGATGTATCTTGGGTCCTCGGAGTATGTTGACTAAAAAGTAGGTCACCTTGACCTACTTTTTGAATTTTATGGCTAATCTCTTTCAAAACAATTAAGGTCATTAATTAGAATACTGAGAGGTTTAGAATCATTAAATTTTGCAAGATGATGCATCTTGGGGCCATAAAACATATTTATTAAAAAGGAGGTCACAGTGACCTACTTTTTGAACTTTGCAGGCATTCGATTTCAAAGCGTTTTAGAGGCATAATTTGGACATTTTAAGGCCTATGATCATAAAACTTTGTAAGTTGATGCATCTTGGGTCCTCGAAAAACGTCAACTGAAAAGTAGGTCACAATGACCTACTTTTCAATTTATATCACTCTAATTAAATATTTCGGGTACTAATTGGGTTAGCATCATCAAACTTTGTCAGATAATGTCTAAAATACTGAGCATGTTCATCTTTCAAAATATCACAATATGTCTATTTTAGACATGTTTCTATAAAAAGAATGGAGAACCCATTCTCAATAATGTGTGAAATATAGTGGAGATTGGTAGAACTGTAAAAAAAAATTTCTACGAATTTTCTAATTGATGTAAAATTGTCATTTTTAGCTTTATTGGGACTTACTTTTAAAACTAGGTAGCTATTAAATTCATTCCTTATTATGTAATTTTCCATCACCAAGTGTAATTGATTGATTGACTACTGTTTAATGCCAAGGCGACATTATTTCAGCCATATTTCAGCGGGCACTAAGTGTGAAAAAATAACAATTTCTCCTTCAAATTGTACATAATTAAAATGTAACATCAAGCGGTTCGATACGTTTTTGACTTAAGTCAGTGTGACCTAGGCAACACAGGTTATATGGTATAAACTAGTTTTTTATCCAATCAAATGACGAGTAAAAACCAAAATTAAATTATATACAAGTAGACTACACTGAGATACATCACTCTGCTTATCAGTTTTTGGTTTTGATGAATGGCATTGCTATGGTGACTAAAATTAAAAATTCCTGTCAAATTCTATCAGGAAGCTTCTTCTACAGCTTTGATCTGATTCCAAGAAGACTGCACTAAGACACATAATCCTGTACATCAGATTTTAGTTTTAGATAACAGTGTTGTCATGGTAACCAAAAAGAAAGGAAATTTTGGTCAATTTTTTCAAAGGCTACTCCTATTACAGTTTTTGACCAACTGCAATTTTGACACAAAAAGAGGCTAAATAAGGATATTTTTTTTATTTACTGTCAAGTCCAAGTGCTACTGCCTAGCTACTTTTCTCTTCCTTTGTTAAATAAATACCAGTAGAGCTACAGTCTCGTCAGAGACTTCTGGTTCCTTATATGCTGAGGGGTATGTTTTTGTTGATGTTTATTGCAATTAATATTGACTAGTTCTTGTAAGTCACAATATGATTATGACAGAAAATCTGCTAATTTTCCACTTCTTACGTTTGAAATAGTGCAAGAACCTACATTTTCTAAATTATTTGAGATACTGTAAAATCATTAAATTTTGTGGGTGTTTTATGGCATAGAGAGACCCACAAATATATGTCCTCCACGAAATGTAAAATTCAAATATATAACAACTTTTAAACAATATAAAAGCTTTTCTTCATTCACAAAGAAAATCCCCTTTACCAACTAATTTTTTCTTCAAACCACGAAAAAATTACCCCACGAAAAATAGGTGATCTTTCACATGTTTACCCCTTTATCCCGTGGATATCACTCATTGGATATTTTTTTTTTTTTTGATATCCCACAGATATGATGTCACAATGGGTTTTAGCGTGAGAGTGGAGAAGTAAAATGAAGTAGATTCCTATATAAAAACAGTGTAAAACATTGATTGTGATGTATAAAACATAGGATAAAAAGAATCTTCCATGATTTGTGGTTGGATATGAATTTTATCCAACTCGTTGTGAGTTTTTTATCCCCTCGCCAAGGCTCGGGAGTAAAAAAAACACACAACTGGTTGGATAAAAATCATATTCAAGCACAAACCATGGGAGTACCTATATATACATTACATATATTTTTAGTTTATTGTTACTGTAACAAGAGGCCCAAGGTCCTTAACGGTCACCTGAGTATAATACAACAATTTAGAAGTTAAATACACTGACAGATGAAGCTTTGTTGCTCTAAAGCAAGAGAAGTAGGAAGATCAGGATCAACAAAATAATTAGTCTAGTATTCACTTAAGTTCTAATCTGTCCCCCACTTAATATTATCACCAAGCAGACTATTAACAAACTATTAGTGCTTCTGTACTATTTTTAAACCCATGTTAAGACCTCTAGCATTGACCTCTCTTATGGTCTTTGAAGAACTTTTAATAAGATAAGTTATTTTTGTCTCATTTTTATTTATCTATTACTTACAGGTCTGCCTGATTATTAAAACTAAGAAAGTACTTTTTGAATTATACGATAAACATTCTTGCATAATTATCTTATTCTATTTATCTTTCAAATACATTATTTACAGTGATTAATTATCAAAGGTGAATGGAAAAGGGAAATAACTTCTCTCAGTAGAATACAAATTAATAGAGCCTGTCCAGGACCAGAATGCTTAGACAAATTGTCCAGATGTTCAAAAATCTGGTAGAAATACGCTTACTTATATCATTTAAACTTTTACTCAGTTTGCTTTCGATATGCCCAGAAGCAGAGAAGAATTTCACAGGTACAATGCATTTTCAATACAGATTCAACAAAGCCTTACCCTAACACCAGAACCCAAGACCAAAGGTCAAGAAATTTACAAATTTGGAAGAGTTACCCTCATCATCATAACTATGGACTTCAAAGGATTAACACTTTTCCACTATATTATCAAAAGCCCCCCCCCCCTTCCTCGTTATGCCAGAACCCCTGACCATAGGACCACAAGATTTAAAAATTCTGTTCGAAGCTCCCATCTTCATCATAGCTAAGCAATTTATTTATTAGCTCAACACTAAGGAGCAGACAGGATTAGTTAATGATTAATTAATAGAATTAATGCATTTTCACTATATAATCAATAGAGCCCCCCTCCCCCCCCCCCCCCTCCTCAAGAACCCCAAAAACTGAGGCCATGTATTTAAAAATTTTGGAAGAGGCATCCTTGCCTATCATAATCATGCACTTAGTTTGTTTAAATAATCTCCAGTAGCAAAGAAGAAGATTTTCATAGAATCAATGCATTTTCACTATATAATCAATAGAGCCCCACCCTAACACCGGACCCCCTGACCCTGGGGCCATGAAATTCACAATTTTTAAAAAGGCATCCTTATGCATCATAACCATGCACTTAGTTTGTTTACATAATCTCCAGTAGCAGAGAAGAAGATTTTCAAAGAATCAATGCATTTTCACTATATAATCAATAGAGCCCCACCCTAACACCAGAACCCCTGACCCTGGGGCCATGAAATTCACAATTTTGGTTGAGGCACTCTTGCTCATCATAACTATGTACTTAGTTACTTTATTTAATACCCAGGAGCAGAGAAGAAGATTTTCAAAGAATTAATGCATTTTCACTATATAATCAATAGAGCCCTGCCCTAACACCAGAACGCCTGACCCAGGGGCCATGGCTTTCACAATTCTGGAAGGGACCCACCTCCTCATCATAACTATGTACTTAGTTTCTCACCTTAATGCCCAGGAGCAGAGGAGAAGATTTTCAAAGAATTAATGCATTTTCACTATATAGTCGATAGAGCCCCGCCCTAACACCAGAACCCCTGACCCTGGGGCCATGAATTTCACAATTTTGGAAGAAGCACTCTTGCTCATCATAACTATGTACTTAGTTTGTTTACATAATCTCCAGTAGCAGAGAAGAAGATTTTCAAAGAATCAATGCATTTTCACTATATAATCAATAGAGCCCCACCCTAACACCAGAACCCCTGACCCTGGGGCCATGAATTTCACAATTTTGGAAGAGGCACTCTTGCTCATCATAACTATATACTTAGTTACTTTATTTAATACCCAGGAGCAGAGAAGAAGATTTTCAAAGAAATAATGCACTTTCACAATATGATCTATATAGCCCCACCCTGGGGCCAGAACCCCTGACCCTGGGGCCATGAATTTCACAATTTTGGTAGAGGGCTCAATGCTTATTACAATGATGCCAACAGTTTGACTGCTTGATGTCCAGGAGTAAAGAAGAAGATTTTTAAAGATTGCATTATTTTTGGTGGTTTTAGCCCCACCCCTCAGGCCCCAGGGGGGCAGGGACCATGAATTTCACAATTTTTGTTCCCCTTTACCGATAGATGCTATATGCCAAATTTGGTTGAAATTGGTTAAGCGATTTCAGAGAAGAAGCTAAAAATGTTCAAATGTTAACGCACGACGCACGCCGACGGACGAGAACGGATAGCAATAGGTCACCTGAGTGACTCAGGTGACCTAATAAAAAATGGAGACCCCATGCTCATTAATGTGTGAAGTGTTGTATGACCACATGTACTTGAAGATGGCATATTTTAGAGAGCAATGTTATTTTAAATATTTTTGTGAAGGTTGTAATTGGGGGAAAATTTCATTTTTTCTCATATGCTGAGACATATGTATTTTTAAGTATTTGGTGTTATAAATAGAAATGGAAATAATCTCCGCAGATTATTTCGCATTTCAGCTAATGCTCTCTTGTTCTTGTCAGTCATTACATTAATAATAGTTAGTCTGCAAATTGAGCATTCCTTATGTTAGAAATAGGGCAAAAATCTATATTTCCTTGATTATTTCCAATATGTCTATTTTTAGACATACACGTATGTTGCTATAAATAGAAATCGAAACCTCCGCTGATTATTGTGCATTTCAGTAAATGCTTTCCTGTTCTTGTCATTCACCTTTTGTCAATAACAGTTAGTAAAAGTTAATCGGCAAAATGTCCATTCCTAGTGTGCGAAAATCTATATTCCCTTGATTTTTTGCAATTTGTCTATTTTTACACATGTGTTGCTATAAATAGAAATTGAAACCTCCACTGATTATTCTGCATTTCAGTTAATGCTCTCTTGTACTTGTCGGTCACCTGATGTCAATAACAGTAAATAGCAGTTAGTCTGCAAATTGTCCATCCCTAATGTGAGAAACAGTGCAAAATTCTACATTTTTTCAATAGTTATAAAACGTTTGTTACTATAAATAGAAATGGAAACCTCCGCTTATTATTCTGCATTTCAGTTAATGCTTTCTTGTACTTGTTGTTCCCCTTATGTTATTAACAGTTAATAGCAGTTTGTCTGCAAATTGTCCATCCCTAATGTGAGAAAATAGTGCAAAATTCTACATTTTCTTGATAATTTGTAGAATGTCTATTTTAAAACAATTGTTACTATAAATAGAAATGGAAACCTCCGCTTATTATTCTGCATTTCAGTTAATGCTCTCCTGTACTTGTCAGTCACATTATGTCAGTTACAGTTAATGACAGTGAGTATGCAAATTGTTCATCTCTAATGTGAGAAATAGTGCAAAAATCTACATTTCGTCATTAATTTCCTATGTGTCTATTTTTAGACATTTGTACTATTTATAGAAATGAGAGCCTATCCTCAATAATGTGTGAGTTATTGTATTATCCCTTGTTCTAATTGATGAAATATTGGTGGGAGCAGTATGTTTATCACTTATGTTTTAGTGGAGCTTCTAAATGATAGAAAATAGTCATTTTTACACATATTATGAGACATGTCTATTTTACGGCATTTGAAGCTATAAATAGAAAACGGAACTCCCTTCAAATAATATGCATAGTAGTTATTGGTGTCCAGTTTCTGTCATTAACATATTGACTTTTACAGTATATTTCTTAAATACCTAACAATGGCATCTTAAACTCTGCCCTAATTTGATTTTTTAGATTTTTCTGAAATATGTCTATTTATAGATACATGTTACTAAAAATAGTATTGAGATCCCACTCCAATTTTTTCATGAGGTGACACTCCTAATTCTGAAGTATGAAAACACACATAAGATTTGAAAATTTTCCATAGACAATTTTTTTTATTTAACCTTAAAGTTCTCAAAAAATACCAAATTTCCCATTTTACACATTTTCAGAAACTAGGTCATTTTACAGGACCTTTTTCTTAGAGTGGGAATAATTCTGGAATAACCGATTATATGCCCTGTATACCTTAAAAGTTGATGTTTTCTTATGATACAATGATTTATGTTTGAGTTTACTACGTAAAGATAAAAATTCATTTACATTTCCTCAATTTTCATGTTTTCATTTGGTCAAAAAGGGCCAAACATGGCCAAATTCAATGGATCCATCTCCATGGCAACCGGGTGCACGTGTGAAACTTCTAACACCATATTTGCTAGTTTTGTGCCAAGATGCACCTGTGGTGCAAATTTCATCAAAATCGGAGAGATGTCGTTTCCAAGCCCTATAGTAATTTTTTTGGTGCTTACAGAGAATGCATGTTAATATTTATTGCTTTAAAAACATTAAACTAAATGCCACTTAGAGAAATAATAAAATATTAAAAATGTTCCGTACAATCTGTATTTCCTTGCAAACAAAAAAAATTAAAGTACTGAAAAAGATGATCGGGTAGGGGCAATTTTGACAGATCTGTCAGAGTACATCAAACAAATGTTTTTTGTTGGCCTAGAAAATTTGCTATTTTTGCAACAATTTCAAAAATCAATCTCCTTGATTGACTTATTAAATCAATCTCAGAAGGTTCAAAGAGAAACAAAAATTATTACAAAATGATGGGCTTATGTAGTCTCTTGGTTTCTCTGAAGTAGAATTTGACTCCTATTTCCTATTTATTATTCACGATTTTCAAATTAAATTCTCTCCCATAATTGCAGCATGCAAATAGCAGTGGATGTTCAAATTCCTGAACATTTTGGAGGGTTAGAGGGGGAGGCAGTCTACATTGATACAGAGGGGAGTTTTATTGTGGAGAGACTGGTGGACATCTCAAAAGCTACTGTAGATCATTGTCAGGAAATGGCTAGACAAGAGGGACTGAAAGGTAACTTAAACATTACTGTCAGGAAATGGCTAGACAAGAGGGACTGAGAGGTAATGTAAACATTACTGTCAGGAAATGGCTAGACAAGAGGGACTGAGAGGTAATGTAAACATTACTGTCAGGAAATGGCTAGACAAGAGGGACTGAGAGGTAATGTAAACATTACTGTCAGGAAATGGCTAGACAAGAGGGACTGAAAAGTTATGGACATCTAAACATTACTTTTCAGGAAATGGCTAGACAAGAGGGACTAAAAGGTAAAGTAAACATTACTGTCAGGAAATGGCTAGACAAGAGGGACTGAGAGGTAATGTAAACATTACTGTCAGGAAATGGCTAGACAAGAGGGACTGAAAGGTTATGTAAACAATACTGTCAGGAAATGGCTAGACATGAGGGACTGAAAAGTTATGTACATCTAAACATTACTTTTCAGGAAATGGCTAGACAAGAGGGACTAAAAGGTAAAGTAAACATTACTGTCAGGAAATGGCTAGACAAGAGGGACTGAGAGGTAATGTAAACATTACTGTCAGGAAATGGCTAGACAAGAGGGACTGAGAGGTTATGTAAACATTACTTTTCAGGAAATGGCTAGACACGAGGGACTGAAAAGTTATGTAAACAATACTGTCAGGAAATGGCTAGACATGAGGGACTGAAAAGTTATGTACATCTAAACATTACTTTTCAGGAAATGGCTAGACAAGAGGGACTAAAAGGTAAAGTAAACATTACTGTCAGTGAATAGCAAAGCAAGAGGGAATGAAAGGTATCAAAACATTTCTGTCAGTAAATGGCAAGACAAAAGGGGTTGAAAGGTAATAGCATAAACATTACTGTCAATAAATGGTTAGATAGGAGGGGTTGAAAGGCAGGGATCGACATTAACGGTTGTCCGATTGCCCGGGACAAGTAAATTCTCAGTTCGGGCATGTGAAATTGTCGACATACTTGTCCGATCGGGCAAGTGAATTTTTCTAATAAAAATGTACATATTTATTTAGTTTACATTAATTTATAAATAAAACAATAAATTGAACACTTGATTTCCGCCACGCACCTGACTGACAATGTTTTGCATTCGAAATTCCTTGGTAGCGTTTCTGGATTATACCGTTCATATAAAAATCGAATTTGTTGTTTTCTTTCGTAGGAAATACACTCTACGTCTAACAAAATTTTGTTAACTTCTTATTATGAAATTAGATTATTCACGCACAGAATATAAGTACAGTGTAACACGTTGTATCCTGATCAAGGTAAGATGTATGTTTCGTAGCAACTATCTTCCTTAAGCGTTGCTTCACAGTTATCGCTGAAAATCACGAATCACAAAATGATCCTACCGCAATTAATTTTCAAAAATATGATTTTTTTTAAAAGGAAACGGAGGGTTATTGCTGCATGGCAGTGTATGTTAACAGGTTAAATTTACAAGTACAGCGGTATTCATTTATGTACAAATGCAGGATCGAAATTTTTTCAGGTACCCGGTAAGCTCAACTTGCCAAATTGACAGTAGTGTATTTCGTCACATTTTTTCTTTTCATAACGTTTGCAGTAATTAATAATTTTCGTCTTAAGTTCCATCCTAATTTTGGGCAACCAAGTTTTGCATTCGGACAAGTCAATGTTTGAGATCACTTGCCCGAAGGGCAAGTGAATCTGAAAGTTAATGTCTATCCCTGAAAGGTAACATAAAGTTACTACCAGGAACTGGCTAAACGAGGGACTGAAAGATAACAGTAATGTTACTGTCAGAAATCGTTAGACAAGTAGGAATGAAAGGTTATGTAAACATTTCCATCAGTAAGTGGCAAGTAGAGGGACTGAAAGGTATCATAAACATTACCGTCAGTAAATGGCAAGACAAGCCAAGAGGGCTGAAAGGTAATGTAAACGTAACTGACAAAAAATGTGCATGCAATATTGATTGAAATGTAGTTCAAATACTACAGTCAGAAATACTGTAATACGTTTTTCCACAGGGTCATAATTCTGCGGAATCACAATTTCTTTTCAATCTGTGTATAGAAAATACACCAAACTTCTTGGATCACTTTTATATGTCTTTTATGCACTTTAAGTATTATGTGACAAAAAAACTTGTGACCGTGTACATAGCGTAAATTAATACCATGCGGGAAAAAAGTATGTCTACAGTATCCAGATTGAAGGGTAATTTTCTAACCACAAAATGTGACCAAAGACCAGAGAGCACAGAAACATACTTATTTCACTTGTAAATTGTTTCCTACAGGAGACAAGATGACTGTAGATTCCGTTCTGTCTCGGGTCCATTACTACAGATGTCATGATTATGTAGAACTTCTAGCAACAGTGCATCTCTTACCAGAATTTATTAAACAACATCCTAAAGTAAGTTTCTGACATACAAATTTCAGACTTTCAAACAGTTCCAAAGTGTTAGACTTCCTATACCTTGTTTGGAGATATGCATCAGTAAAATAAGTTCACAGAACATCACTTTATATTGTTATAAATTACAGATTATACACGTACATTATTTGCATAAAAACATGCTTATAATAAAGTGCCAGGGACAGATGATTTTGCTTCATTTAAGCATAAATCGTTATATCCTTAGGTTTACAATATATTTTAAAGTCAGGGGAAATGAAAATCACTTTGCTGTAATTGTTAATTCATTATAAGCATGTTCACTGTGAGCGTGTTTTACTGTACATATTCTTGTTTATTGTTTTGTAATGTGTAAAGGTAGAGATATGGGACATTTTTTCTGGTCTTTCAGGTTAGAGTTGTACTTGTAGACAGTGTTGCCTTCCATTTCCGACATGATTTTGATGATTTATCTCTCAGAACAAGGCTGCTTACAGCAATGGCTCAAAGTTTTATCAAACTTGCTACTGAGTTTAAGATTGCAGTGAGTATTTTGTATTCATATAACAGTAGATAATTTTGTGCTTATGTCTCTATTTTAATACCTTTAATACCTTTGAATAATGTCTTTGGGTCCTGTGGTGGTGAAGTTGAACATGAATTGAAATTATCTTTAGAACTTAAATTCTTTCACTCTCAGAAATGTACCGGTATGTAGCAGACAATCTCAGTTTATGATGATAGTGGACAATCTTTAAATAAATCAAAAGAATCTGTTACTGCTTGGGTCAATGGTTCAGACCTACATGGTGCAGCTAAATTGTTTATGTATGAAAATACATTATATCTTCCCTTTTGGAATTAAAGATCTGTTTTCATGATGATTAAAACTGTAAAATAAACCCACCCATTCCACTCCCTGCAGGACTTGAGCCCAAAAGTGGAGCTTATCTGATACAAATTGAAAACTCTTTGTTGGGACAGAATATTAATGAATTCCAGGTAGTTTTAACTAATCAGATGACCACAAAGTTTAGTCCAGGAGAAGATTCACGCCTTGTGCCAGCTCTGGGTGAGAGCTGGGGGCATGCTAGTACAATTCGTATAATCTTGTATTGGGAGGCCCAGAAGAGATGGGCATGGCTCTACAAATCCCCCAGTAAACAAGAGAGCAAAGTGCCATACCAAATCACAGTGAGTTATGCAATGAGATTTTATCTTCAAAGTCATACATACATGTACAAAATACACCTTGGGTAGTTTAAAGCAGTATCATAGTTTACCACTTTTGATGAAATCTTGTCTTATGTGAATGTAGATCTTAGGTCCTTTCAGAAAATTGTTTAAAATATAGTCTTATCTGGAATGTTGTCTTATCTGGCCAATTTCTTTGGAACCAGTGACTGTCAGATTAGACAAGTTTTACTTAAGTTTTTAGCTCACCTGAGCTGAAAGCTCAAGTGAGCTTTTCTGATCACATTTTGTCTGTAGTCCGTCTGTCTGTCTAGCTGTCTGTAAACTTTTCACATTTTCGACTTCTTCTGGACCAATTTCAACCAAACTTGCCACAAAGTATCCTTGGGTGAAGGGGATTCAAGTTTGTTCAAGTGGATTGCCATGCCCTTTCAAGGGGAGATAATTCAGAAATAGTGAAAATTTGGTGGCATGATTTAAAAATCTTCTCAATAACCACTGGGCCAAAAAAGTTGAAACTTTTAGGAAACTATCTTTACATAGTGTAGATTCAAGTTTGTTCAAATGATGACCCCTGTGGGTGGGGTGGGGCCACAATGGGGGATCAAAGTTTTACATAGGAATATAAAGGAAAAAATCTTCAAAAATCTCCTTCTCAAGAACAGCAAAGCAATGATTAGTCATATTGATATGGAAGCATCATCAGATAGTGTAGATTCAAGTTTGTTCAATTCATGACCCCCGGGCATAGGGTGGGGTCACAATGGGGGATCAAAGTTTTACACAGGAATATATAGGAAAAAATCTTTTAAAATCTTCTTCTCAAGAACAGCAAAGGCTTGTTTAATCATATTGATATGGAAGCATTTTTAGGTAGTGTAGATTCAAGTTTGTTCAAATGATGATCCCTGGGGGTAGGGAGGGGCCACAATTGGGGATCAAAGTTCTACATAGGAATATGTAGAAAAAAACCTTTCAAAATATTCTCAAGAACAACAAAGTCATGTTAAGTAATATTGATATTGAAGCATTTTCAGGTATGTTGATTTAAGTTTGTTCAAATCATGACCCCTGGGGGTAGGGTTGGACCACAATGGGGGAATAAAAGTTTTGCATAGGAATATAAAGGGAAAAAAAACTTGAAAAATCTTCTCAAGAACAGCAAAGCCATGATTAGTCACATTGATATGGAAACATTCTCAGGTAGTGTAGCTTCAAGTTTCTTCAAATGATTACCCCCCCCCCCCACCCCCAGGGGTAGGGTGGGGCCACAATGGGGGATCAAAGTTCTGCATAGGAATATTTAGGCAAAGATATTCTTCTCAACGGAAAAGCCATGTTTAGTGATATTGTTAAGGAATCATCCTCAGGTAGTGTAGATTCAAGTTTGTTCAAATGATGACCCCCCTGGGGGGGTATGGAGGGGCCACAATGGGGGATCAAATTTTTATAAAGGAATATATAGGAAAAAATCTTTAAAAATCTCCTGCTCAAGAACAGCAAAGCCATTTGTTATATTGATATGGAAGCATCCTTAGTTTAAAATTCAAGTCCCCCCCCCCCCACCTGTAAACTTTTCAATACTGAACTGGTATGTGCTTTTTCCTAGCTAATGTGCTCAGGTGAGCGATGTGGCCCATTTGGCTTTTTTTAAAAATATGCATTTAAGTGATAAAGAAATCATTAAATAATTATTCTTTTCACTTGCTGATTGTACAGATAAGCACACTAATTTTCGTACACAAGTACACATTATTCAGTTCATATTCACAACATCTTTGTGATTTGTAGCACCATTCAATGCTTATAGCAATATGAGCTGCATTTTTGAAAATTTTATTTTGCTTTTAAAATGTGCTGTTATGATAAATCTGTATGTAATTTAAACCTTAATGATCATTTAGACTAAAATAAAGCATTTAATTGTTTTCAGAAGAAAGGTTTATGTACAATTGAATGTATAGTATTATATAAGAAATCAATATTGTACAGGACGACAATAATGTAATTTTGTTTCAATCAATGCTTCTAAATAATTCTTTCATCGCAAATATGAACAGCAGAAGTTTATGAATGTTCTTTTTTTTCTGTCATTGAAATTGTTAATTACAATTTTGTCACAAAAATTTCCGACATCAAAGTTGCAGCTCATATTGCTTTAATTAACTAGAAATATGTCCATAGGACAAGAATGCTCTGTCCAAGGTACATTTGTATTGCAACAGTATTAAAAAAAATGTTCCTTCCTTCTTTGGTCCGAGATTGATTTATCCCATCTATTATCTAAATAGCTAAATATTTTTAGCCTCATAATATTGTTTTAAGTTCATTATCTCATACCTAGTTAATTTATATATATGATCTCTAAAGTATGTTTTGTAAATATGCTCTTAAAGGGATTTATCAATGTATGGATTGTTCTGAAGAAATCCTTTAAGGAATTCAAAAATATAAACTAAGAGTAAAATAAAGAAAAATATGTTAAATTCAAGATCATAGAGAAGGTCAAGTTCAAATTTTTTGGACAACTATTTATTTCTTTCCCTAATTTGTATCAGTATACAAATTTAAAGAAAACTTCTTTAACAGTTTCTCTGAAATAAGGCCTAGTGAGGTTAAGGTCATAGGAAAAGCCAAGATCAGAAAATTATGAATTTAGGTTAACAGCATACATGAATTATGAATTTTTATGAAATTGTCTTGAACAGTTTATCTTAAACAAAGATAAATGCAAAATGACATATAGTGGAGTCAATGTCATAGGAAGGTCAATGTCAGAAAAGTGTGGCAAAGTTGTATTGTATCAGGGTCTGAGTTTTGATGAAAATATTATAAACAGTTTCTTCTAAACTTTGCTAAATGCAAACTAAGTGAAAATGAGGTCAAGGTGAAAGGGAAGGTCAAGCTCAGATAATTATGAAACAGTTGGATAGCTCCCACCAATATGTTTCAGTGTACGAGTTTTGATAAAAATGTTGTAAATAGTTACTTTAAGATTGAACTTAACACAAAATAGGAATCTGAAGGAAATTTTGCCAAAATTGAAAAGCTCTCATCAATATGTATCTGTATGCATTTGGTAATATGCTTGAAAACTGAGCTAAACTCACAATAAGGAAATGTAAGGTCAAGGTCACAGGGAAGGTCAAGGACAGAAAATTTTGTCATAATTAAATAGCTCTCATCAATATGTAAATTTTGGTTAAAATATCTTGAACAATTTCTTTTAAACTGAGCTAAACACAAAATAAAGAATAGTGATATCAAAGAAAGGAAAGATCAAGGTTAGAAAATTATGCCATAGTTGCAATATGTGTCAGTGTATGAAATTTGGTTATAATATCTTGAATAGTTTCTTTGAAACTGAACTAAATGCAAAGTGTAATGGACAGACAGAAAGATGTACAGAAGATGGACATGATAAACACTATATGTTCTGGCCATATTCATGGCAGGGTATAAAAATGAACTTCAGTTCACTATAACACTATTATTTTTCACGTACTTGTACTGGTAGTTATGTAAAAGTATTTAAATTTATAGAGAATAAAATAATCTGAACTTATTACAGATGGGTGGTGTTAGAGATATAGTCACACCCACGGCTGATAGTATCATAGAACAGAATTGTGAAGAACCGTCCTCCAAAAGACAGAAGGTTAGCTGATGTGGACGTCACAGTTTTCCTGTGTAAGGTGGCAGAAATTTGTTACGTCTAATAAAAGTACACTAATAATACTCTGAAGAGGAAGAAGTTTATTATACCCCCGCTCCGAAGGAGAGGGGGGTATACTGTTTTACCCTTGTGTGTCTGTCTGTCTGTCTGTCTGTCTGTCTGTCCGTCTGTCTGTCTGTCTGTCCGTAACAAACTTTGGTCGCAGTTTTCTCAGCAACTACTCATCAGAGGTGCTTGAAATGTTAACACACTCTTTGTTTAGGCATGCCATATGGTGGGATTCATTTTTGTACGAATTCGATGTCAACTTCCTGTTTATCCGTGCGTTTGTCCGTACCATACATAACAAACTTTGGTCGCAGTTTTCTCAGCAACTACTCATCACAGGTGCTTGAAATTTTAACACACTCTTTGTTTAGGCATGCCATATGGTGGGATTCATTTTTGTACGAATCCGATGTCAACTTCCTGTTTATCCGTGCGTCTGTCCGTACCACACATAACAAACTTTGGTCGCAGTTTTCTCAGCAACTACTCATCATAGGTGCTTGAAATTTTAACACACTCTTTGTTTAGGCATGCCATATGTTGAGATTCATTTTTGTACGAATCCGATGTCAACTTCCTGTTTATCCGTGCGTCTGTCCGTACCATACAAAACAAATTTTGGTCGTAGTTTTCTCAGCAACTACTCATTGCAGATGCTTCAAATTTTAGCACAATCTTTGTTTAGGCATGCCATATAATAGGATTCATTTTTGGAACAAATCCGATGTCAACTTCCTGTTTATCCGTGCGTCTGTCCGTACCATACATAATAAATTTTGGTCGTAGTTTTCTCAGCAACTACTCATCGCAGATGCTTGAAATTTTTTCTTTGTTTAGGCATGCCATATGTTGGGATTCAGTTTTTACAAATCCGATGTCAATTTCCTGATTATCACTGTGTTTGTCCATAACTGAACTTGTGTATTCACATCAGAGCGGGGGTATTATTAGTGAGCATTGGCTCACAGACTTCTTGTTGTGCTTATTCTTCTCATCAGAAATACATATGTATCTAGATACAACTATGAAAAAGAAACGTTGTCAATCTTGACTGTAAGACAGTTTAATCAGGCAAGATCTTTCCAATTCATCATAAAATTTATATAAGTTCTAGTTTAGCTTCTTCATATAATGTAACTACAGATTTGTTTAATTCATTGCCTCTGAGGCATAGACATGGTCACAATATAATGTCAAAGCTTTACACCTGAATACAGTAAAACACGCTTATAGCGAACACTCTTAAAAATGAATTGATGCTTACAGCAAATTGATTTTCATTCCCCGTGACTTTATAATATATTATGAACCTAATGGATATAACAAATTACGTTTAAAACAAAGCAAAATCATCCATCCCTGACACTTCATTATAAGCATGTTTTACTGTATATATAAAGTAAAAACTTTAGAAATCATGTTTTCTGGAGAACTGGGCCACAATCATATTGATATGCAATCAATTTTATTTTTTTGCAAATCATGGCCTAAGGCCTAAATTGAGCCAAAGCTGTCCATGAACTTTGAAAGGGGAGAGGACAATAAGAGGCTTATTTTCTCTACATGTTTATTTTTCTGGAAGAGAATGTTGACTCATGTGAGCACTGTGGCTCATAGTCCTCTTGTTTATATTTGTTAGTTTGTTTATGAATATGTTAAATAAAGAAATTAAAATAACAGAATATATTATTTATTAATATTTATACATGAAATCAAATACAAAGAAAACCATTCAACAATCAACAATATTAGAACATCAGATTACTTTTTCTTCCCCTTGGCAGATCCCCGACCCCCTTTTCCAGACTTGTTTCCCCCACCCTCGGCAATGTCTATTTTTTTATTGAGGGAATCTTCTGTAACTTTCAGCTGTTCTTCTACGGATAGTTTCATCTTCTTAATTTCCTCAGTTAAGTAACTCTGCACCATTGCCCGTAGTTCCTTGCGTGCTTTGGATTCTTCTAAAAATCAAAAACACATTCATAAATAAAAAATATCAAGTAAGAGGTGATAAGTAAATAACTGATAACTATTTATTATTACTGAAGTAAATTGATTCATTGAGTTATAGATTGTGTGAACTTGACAGGTGCAGATCTAAGATATCAGGAGTCAAGTTTGAGGATCTTCATCCTTTCAAGAGATGAGATCCATCTCTTTGGATCAAGTAATTGTAAGAATAGGTAACAGAAACTTAAGTTTTAAATATATATAAATTTACGAAATGAAACATTTCCTTGTATCCATAGTGTTATTTTGAGTGTTGAAATGGTGACATTATTATTTGTCTATGACTTGAAGGCATTCCATCAGTAATTGTAAAATGAAAGCCTTTCTTGAGATTGATTAATGGGATTGTTCCAGTGAGTTACATTACCTGGTTCTGGTGACTTTGGTTCTTTGGGAGGTTCCTCTGCCGGCTCTGGTTCTGTAGGTTCTGGAGCCTCCTCTGTAGCCAGATCATCTTCTGCTGGGGCCTCGGCAGCTACAAAACAATGCCACTCATTATAGTACTCTATTAAAAGTGGAAAACATCTTCAACATATAAATCAATTTTATTGACTTGGAATGAAAATCTACTTTCCAAGATGCTAAGCAATAGAGTTGAATATGCATTTAAAAGACATCTATAGTTAAATCTATCAGGTTCATACCTTCTGATGGGGGTGGGGTCTCTGGCATTCCTGTATAGGTCAAAGAGAGGTCAAGTCGAACCTGAAAGAGTAAATGGTAATGACTTCATTGACAGGATTTCAAAATTACTTTATGGCATTAAACAAAATATTCAGAATGTTTAAACATACCAGAGGTGTGAAGGCATACTTGTACATCTTGAAGTGTCTGAAGTAAGTGTTGACAGTATACTCTGTAATTTTCCTGATTTCGTCGGGTGTAAATAATTCAATACTGTGTGGGGGTCTCTAACAAACAAAATGTGAAACAATTAAGCCAAGTCATTTTATGAAGGTTAAACAATTATATAAAATACTGTCTGTGTTTGTAAATGTTTCCTGTATTCTTACATTGACAGCATGACAGAGGAGTAGATCTTTGAAATAGTTGAAAGTCTGATCTAGATTTCCAAATGGTGTCTCTGAAAATAAAAGTTATATCCTTGGAATATTTTTAATTCTTATTTTTATGCTTTTGAGATCAATGATCAGCAGAAAAGTAGGGTTTGGTCAATTCTTTTTTTTTTTTGTGGCTTAAATACATATTATAATTAGCAATGTTTCTCTTCATAGCTTTTAATTATCAGAGTTGGCATATCTACCCAACCTCAGATGATTTTTCATTGAAATTCTGGCTTATGATTGGTTGAAGTCTATCATGTGAAGGGAGTGTAATACTTATACATGGTCACTTGAAAATCAGTACACAGTCAATACAGAGTTATTGTTCTTTTGTAACGCAGAACAACTCAAGTTCCTTAAATTTTTTAATTATCAATGGAATAGACATGTCGAAGCTTCATGAGTGTCTGTTGATGTCAGCACACATTATGAACCTTTTTCTCCTTTAACTAAAATTCTTTACAACTGGTGTGTTATTACTGCAAGAAACACTTGCAAAACAATATACATAGCACTGGGTGGTGTCATATTCATAAGCACTGGACTGGAGTGATGAAACATACAGTGGGGAGAAACAATTTAACAAAACGTAGACACCTGAATATACATGTATAATTATGTCATTGATGGGGTAAATCAGTTACATTTTTTTGTAGTGACAGGGTACGGTATAATACCTGATTACTAAATTTCATATTTGACTCGGCTTGGCCTCACCAGGTATGAAATTGACTAACATATCATCCCATATCTATAGTCACTAGTAAACATGTAACTAATAATATCAGGTTTAAGATAATTTAAATCATACATTTAATCATTATAAGTTATATTAAAAGCTACCATAGGTAAAAATGTCCTTTTGGAATATTAAGCCAGAAAATTCCTACCTATGCACACTTCATGTGTTTTCTTCACAATAGAAAAAAATGCAGATGTTTTTTCTTTGGTGAAGTTGTTGTCCCTGGCAAATTGCAGTGTGTAGAAATACAGGTCCATCACAATGCCTGTTTTCAGGTTCTCTTTGTGGTCATCCAAATTGAATACATCAGCCAACACTCTGTAATGTATCACAAACAAATTGATGGACAGTTGAAGCTAATTACCTTAATTTGTTAATTTGAAATTTGCTAAGAGGCTTGTAGATTAATTAAGTAAGAATAATCTAATTGTGTCTCAGGACAAGCCCTCAGACCATCTTTAAAAATAGTTTGTACGTTTGCCCCCTCCCGACTGACTGGCTAAAAATGGCCCAACAGAAAACTTTTTTTTATCCTCCACGAAATGATATATATATATATATTTTTTATTCCTGAATTTTCTTATCCTAGCAACATGTTTGTTGACATTTTCTAGAAAAAAAAAATGTCCCATCTACCTGACTGACCCAATTTTTTTTACCCTGAGTCGGGAGAGGGCAATCAAACATTATTTTAAAGATAGCCTCACCACCGAGTTTTACCTGACTGGGTCTATAGGATATCATTTTAAGGATAAAATGTTCTATCTAACCCTTAGGAAGGGGGACTTTCATGGCGTACTTGAATACTTTTTTTACGATTTGTAATTAAAATAGGTTACTCTAATAAAGCTTTTAATTCATCTCATCTACCAAATTTGATTGTTGGTTTTACCTTCATATTTAGTAAATTTATAATCATACTTTTGACATGTATATTTTCAATTTTTCTGTGATTCAGATTTTGTTTTAATCATATTTCAATTCTTTTTTTTAAGGCTTTTTAAAATTTCTTTTTTACATGCATAATGATCAAAGAGAATGGCATTTCAAGCATGAAAATAAAAAAACAAAAACAAAAAAAGTTTTTTTTTTAAAATTAAATAAACAGTGGATAATGGGTACAGCAAAACTCATTTAGTACGGACACGGATATATATAGCAAATTTAGCAATATAGAAGGTTTTTTGTAATCCCCGGCAAAATCCTTAACAGATCCTTGTAAAATTTTAGGGATATAACGAACTCGGATATAGCAAATTTATGGTTATAGTGAACTGATTTTGAGTCCCCTAGGAGTTAAAAATAACGAAATTTACATCTTTTATAGCCAATTTTCAAAATTTTTAAAATATTGAACTGTCATTAATTTTGAAGGTATTTCTATTTGAAACAGAATTATCCGAAAACTTTTGAACCCCAAGGTAAATTTTATATTTTATATTCCCCTAAATACATTTGGTAGTCATAATTGAATGAAAAAATCTATATTGCAAATTCGCCATGTATATACTTTAAGGAATTAGTTATACGGATATAACAAATTACGGATATAGCGAAGTAAATTCACAGGTCCCCAGAATTTTCCTATTACCGAGTTTTACTGTACCTGGTATGTATAACTGTTTGTGGTACTTTTAATATTTAAGACATAAAAACGTTCAACTTAAATGGATGTTCAAAAGGCATAATTATTAACAAAATATTACATTAAAAGTCTTTGTATTTCAATTAAGTGAAATTGAACATTAATAAATTCACTGGCTTTATGATTGATATACTGTTAGTTCTCTTGTTGAACTTACTGTTTAATGTGATCAGCATTCAGTGATTCATTAATTCTGTCAACATCATTCACTGTCAAGTCAGACCTGAAAAAAAAAGTGTAACGCGCTTCAGAATCTCAAACTGGGAATATATACTTAAATATTTACATTTCCAATAAATTTCCCCTTTGATTCTTTACAAAATAGAAAACAGTTCATTTTCTCATAAACTGCCATGAATGAGCATGAATATCTCAATTGTTATTACATAATACCGTACTTGACGTCAAAACAATAGTGCAAACTGTTTTGCTTTAAAATGACAATTGAATGGCATAATTTGTGGCAACTCCGCAGAAAAATAATGTAAATATAAGAAATGAATTTAATTTTTGAAAATTCATGAGGTGTGGTACATGAACTACAACGCTTCACGCCAGCATATTTATCGTGATGCGCTAACGTAGTTCATGTCCTCATGAATCTTCAAAAATTAAATTCATTTCTTATGCCCTGTTCACACGGAGAGTTTAATTCGCAGTAAATTAATGCGAAGTAAAATGATGTGAATCAAACTAATGCGAATTAAATTGTGTTCACACAACAGCTAATGCGAAGTAAACTAATGCGAATTAAAATTTTATTTCTACAACAAGGCTATTCAGTAAGGCTTTTATGACGTCATTTACAAATCACGTCATTTTGTGCAGAGCAGATATACATTTGACATATGCATAGTGTCTGTATACATTTTAGTGATTAACATAATTTTCCTTTGTTTTCCACTCAAAAATAACGCAAATACCTATATTTGACCACTGACTTGTGGCATGTGACTTAATTCTGCCCTTCCGCATGCGTCAAAATTTAATTCGAATTAGCTTCTCTTAGCGTTCACTCGGAGCTAATGCGAAGTAATGTAATGCGCAGTAAACTAATTGGAATTAAACTAATTCGCATATTCTCCATGGATCAAATTTAATTCGCAGTAACTTACATTTAATTCGAATTAAACTCTCCTTGTGAACAGGGCATAAAATGTACCTCCATACACATTTTTTAAAAAAAAAAAACAGAGATTTTTCAAATATAAAATTCTTTAGTTTTACAATATCCTACACATGTAGCATCATTCATAAAAAATTAAACTACTCAGATTCCATGACATGGGATGTTTGACACATTCTTTATTTAACCTTTACATATTATTTGTTACCAGTATATTGAATAAAAATTAGTTTCATTCTTACCAAACACAGACTTTAGCCTTGTGACTTCTTGGCTAAAAAAAAAAGTGTAAATTAATCAAGATTTACGATTAAATTTTGTATTGATAGATTATGTATTGAGTTATAGGGATTTACTCAGTTCGTTTGCATATACCATTGTTATGCGATTACATGTAATGTCTTTCTAAATATATTATTTCAAAAATCAATGCTTTTAGTTTTAATGCCTAGTAAAATCATGAAGGAATAAGTTGATACTGCTTCAAGTAAAGCATTTACCTGTATTAGTTTTGGCACTTCGCTTGGGCCTTCTGTATTTTCACTCAACAGCATTATCAGGCCAATTATAAGCAAGAAAAGGAGATGTATGTGATATATTTATTGTTGCTAAGGAATGACTCCGAAATCTTCATGCGTATACCACACCCGATCAAATAATCATCGAAGGCAATCGTATTTTTCCGGAATATATCGATGAGCTACGAAGAAAACATCGACCATTTCCGATAAGTCACGTGATTCCGAAAAAACGCACGCGTTTGTATCACGTGATATATAGCCGGACAGAAAAGCGACAATGGCGGATGCAAGTCGTAAGTATACTTGTTTTTGAAATTTTATACATGCATGAAATAAAAGGATCAACTATCATGTTAGGAAAAAATAAGATAACGCTTTAACGATACAATTAGTATGTAGCATTTTCACTTCCATGTAGTATTAATCGTGTTTTCTTTATAACAATGGCCATGCGCACACTGTGCTGCGGAAAAGGTAGGGCATGATTATAATGTGATGATACTTTTCTTTTTCAGAATACAGTTATTCTACAGCCGCTGGCGGGTGAGTTGATTGGTGAAATTTTTCGAAGCATTATGATAAATGAATAATACATTGTATATCCTTTGTCTTCATGTCTACTCATCTTCCGAAGGAACAGATGATATTGCGTTTTGAATAATGCTAAAACCATGTAGCGTTAGGGCAGTTTTTAGACACTGATGTTTTTAAGAGCCTTTTATACTCTGCACACTTAAGAGTTCTGATTTTGTGGTATTTTTATGCAGATTGAGTAATCTGCTCTTTGATCTAGAATAAAATAAATATTGAAATGTACAGTTTATTACTTCATTTGTGATCAAATCAAGCATCCATGACATTTTATAAATAGGCCAAGATGAATAGATTGAACACTTCAATTGAAGGTGTTTTGCCCACTTAAGTAAACAACAGTGATTTTTATTCATAATTCATTGTCTGAACATTTTTCCTGGGGGTAAATGCAAGGTACCCTATGTTGGAAATGTAATAGATTAGATAGAATGTTCTATTCTTAAAATGATATTGTTCTATGGACCCAGTTTAAAGATGGAATTTGTTCAGTGCATGGCAATGTAGCAAAATAAACACAGGCGATAACTCTAACTCTGCATTTTCTATGAACAATCCAGAGAATTCTGAATATCAACATAGCGTGTAAATTTGAAGTGAGGAAAAAAACGTTGAGAAAATGAGTTGCATTTTTATATTTTTATGGATTATGTTTTAGGTTAAAAGGCATATACTATCTCAAAAAAGTTAGTTATGATTAATTTGGTAGTTATTTTGCAGTGCAACTCCTTTTGTATTCTTCAAAATCATTTTAGAGCGGATCCGCTCTGATTTGCTACATTGCAAGTATATGGGACAAATTCTTACTGTGGTGAGGGCTTGTCCTGAGACACAGTGATAGATAAGCTCAATATTTACACACTATAATTTTATCAATGTCCAAAAAAAATCTTTTCCTTCAGGTCCCCAAGTCTTGTATCAAAAAAGCAAACACACATTTACATTTGAAAAAGACAATATCTTCTTCATTTCTCTTGCACTGAATAAAGGTATGTTTTTAATTCTGTAGCTATGGTGGTTATGGTGGTCAGTCAACAGATGCTAGTGCTTATGGACAGCAGCCAGGAGGAACATATGGACAGACGGTAAGATTTTATAAGAAAATTAATGAATCTTTACTTCGTTCTACATTTAGAATAACTAAAGCCAAATAAAATGACATTTTTTAGGCAACTCAAGGGTATCAACAGCAAGGTTACACAGGTTATGACCAAAGTGCTTATGGACAGCAAGCTGGCCAGACTGCAGGTGCCCAGAGTGCAAGCTATGGACAGCAGCCCGCAGCTCAGGGGTCATATGATTCATCAGGAGGATATGGAAGCCAGCAGCAGTATGGACAGCAACAACAGAGTGGATATGGTCAGCAAGGAGGTAAGTTTTCAATGAAGCCCTCTTGTCTTGTTGAGTAGTGTAGTCTTTTTATCATTCAATATTTTTATGTTGTAAATTGCGTCAATGGTTTTACAGCTGGACAAACTTCTCAAAACTATGCATCATATGTTCAACAAGGAGGTAATTTTTTATTTGTTTCTTGACAACAAGGTTTGGGTTATTATTGATGAGTATTCATCCTTTGTCAGAGTTTAAGCCATTTTATCATGTGCTTGGTAATAAGATACAAGGTCTTTTTATGCATTTCCCTTTTCTTTCGACTGGAAGGTTCACTATGTCAGGTTTCATGTACATATGAATGTGAAAGGTTTTGCATGCACAAGTATTATATATTGTTCTTTTTAATTGAATGTAAAGAATTTACATGTTTATTCCAATTTTACTGATTTATTTGTATTAAAAAGGTTATTGTAAGTTTAAATAGATTAAAATTTTGAGGTATTGTATAAGAATGAAAAGCATGACAAGTTTGTAATGAAAGTGGTAGAATTCAGCCATTATGACAAGTATTTTTTTAAATTTACAAAGCCAGGGTCTGTGCAGTCCACTAAAAAGAAAATGTCCCGACACATAGGCATTGTAGTTAATTCTATTATCTTCTTTTTCATAATGTTTTGCTATTAAATAGAATGATGTATTGTTCTTATTGTATTGACTTTTATCAGCCTGGCAGCAGATCATTTTGTCAACTAATTCATCAAAAAGTGGGCACTCTGACTTCTCATGGTGGCTGAAAGTTTGTAATGGAAGTTGTACAATTTTTGTTCAATATATATTTTTATTCTTGTTAAACATATATTTTTTTTCTTCTAAAAAAAGCATTAGTATATGCATTTACAACAAAGGTGTACATATATTTGGTAAACTTGGTTATTTAACCCTGTTTACTGCTAAATTTTCAGCTCAGGGTAGTCAAGGCTCTTATGGATCATATGGTCAACAATCTGGTGTAATGAACACTCAGCAGTCAGGTAATTAATGGTTCTGTGTTCAGGTGGGCAAATTTACAAAGGTAAACATCATAATGGCTCCAGGACAGAAATATCATCATGTATTCAAAATGATGTACATAGTTTCCTTAATTTTTTTGTACATATGTTTATATCAGGACACATTTAAAATAAGAATTTGGTATTTTTTGATGTGAAAAACTAAGTATATTGCAATTTTGTTCAACTTTTTGCAGTACAATATGTATTCAGAAAAAAGGCAGCAATACATTTGAAGCCAGTCAATCAATTTAACTTGTAGTTCATAGTTCAACTTCCATCTTGTTTTTAGCCAAAGTATACATGTCTCTCTGTTACAGAACAGGCTTGGCATGTGGAGCGACTTCATGTCAATTATTTTGGATGAAATGGGAGATGCAATAATCGTTAAATTCAATTTGTCGGGTCACTTGGGTGTCTTTCCTGTCAAGTCTTTTTCCATTTGAAAAATATTGCTGTTCTAACTGAATTGTAAAGATTCATATGACATGACACCTAATTTTTTGCTTTGAATGATATGGGTCCATATCCTTTTTTTTCAAGCTGTTGCTTAATCAAGGGTATATTTATTTTAGTAAAACCTTTTTTTTGTAACCAAAATTATGTTAGTTGGGCCAAAGTTTTTATTTTTTTTTGGTTTACGATTTTCTGTCTCAAAAAAATGCATTGGGTGGTCGGAAAATAAAAATAATTTAGGATTCAACAGTTTCATTTCAAAATACCATCAATGTTTATTTTAATAAAAATAATACACGTCAATAGTACTTTTAAGTTTTATTGTCTAGATCACATAACTCTTTTAATTTAATTTTGATTCATTTCTAACTTTAGACTGAATGTCATTTTCAATTACATATATAGTTCTGATTTTTGTTCGTCAATCAGTGCTTGGTTCATGATGTTCAACTTCTTTTTGTGCTCTTCAGTGATATGTGATGTGCAGTGTTTTCCCCAGATCGTTTTTGCATGGCGGTACCGCCATGCATTCACGATCCCCCGCCATGCATCACACATTGCCGCTATGCTTCCCGCTATGCATGAATTATTAAAGGTAGACTATTTTAAGAAGATATACTTTGAAATTGTTATCAGTTATTAATCTTTCAATAAAACAATTCAAATCACTAGAATCACAGCGTGTACTGTACACATGTTGCGCACCTGTGGTGAATTTGATGTGAATCGCGGTACTTGGTATGATGCAATAGTTGTCTATTTATGTTTATTGCAATTTACTGATATGTTACTAAGTACTAAGCTTTTATTTGATTAAAAATATTTATAAGCAGGAAAAATTTATTAATTGCTGTCAGATACTACACACGGTGAAAGTAATACACTTGTTATATGCACATGTGGGTTTTTCCAACATCCACAGGTCATTCTATAAATAGCATTGATGTTCTGACATCAAAAATGACTCATTAGTTAAACACTTAATTTTAAAGCTATTTTTTAGCATAAATATGCTTAAAATAAACATGTCCAATAAATATTATCATTGTTTATTTACTCTATGAACTATGGGCTAATACTTCGTTCAAGTGCACATGCTTGACCTACATTCAACAGCTTACGTTGAATAAAAACAAAATCAGACACCAGTGTACTAAATATGTTGTCACAGTATTTACATGTAAGCAATGGTGCTACATAATGTGCACCCTTTTTGTTTAAAAATGACTGTAAAAGTAGGGACATCCAAAAGAAAAAAAATGTAGTAAATAAGAAAAAAAAGGGGGGGGGGGGTCACTAGGGGCTTATTCAGTTTGTAGAATGCAAGAATAACACAGCACATAAACATGATAAAAAGACAGTGGCGTAGATATATTTTTATAAAGGAGAACTCAATTGTTTAGCTTATTTAAAAGTTATATTGACAATATATTCAAAATATATCATTTAAATTTAAAAAAATATATAAATGAATGAATTTGTATTTTTCATTTATTAAATATAAATTCAGATACATGCACAAATAACACAACAAGACACGCTTCACACCGTCAATTCAGCAAAATTCCCCCCATGCATTGAAAATTTTCTGGGGAAAACACTGATGTGTTATAAACCTCGGTATCCCCACAAACTAAAAATAAGGATCCAAATTTAAGTCAAATTTAGATTGAAGAAAAATACAATTTAATTGTTTAACAATATCAGAAGTAATTGATGTTGAAATAAAGGTTATGATAATTTGATCATGCAGCTATCAAATTTAATGTTCAACCTGCGGTACAAAAGCCTAATAATTTCTCAAGTCCTTCTTTAAATTTTTGTTATGTACCTGCACAGTAGGCGATGCTCATTATTTACTTAGTAATTCAAAGGGCTTTGATCTCAGTTGAGTATGAAATTTGCAAAGATTTGTATATTGAATTTACTTCTATAAATTAACAAATGTTTTATACACATTTGAATTTATCCAGTGAAATACCGGTCAGAGTTACTTCAACTAAGATGTATCTCTCTAACACTAAATTGGCCTAACTGTTATCCATGGATTTATCAGCCTGTTTTGGGAAACACCATTTTTGGGGAATTGGGAATAAATTATCGGCTATTTGATGAAATTGGAAAAAATTTAAAATGTTACTTTAATCCTGTATTCAGGGGCAATTCATTTAACATTTCAGCATGAACTCTAATTTGGGCAACCAAACAACAATTAAATATGATCCATCTTCATCATACAAGATCAATTATGAATAATAGATTAATAAAAGTAAATTGAACTTCAATGAGTGTAAAGCATTTATACAACTTAGGGTAGTACATGTGTGTATGAGGTTTCAATTTAGGTCATATAGTATTTGTTTCTGGAGATTATAAACCTCCTGCAAAAAATTATACTAAGTACACATTTTCTAAAAGTCCTCTTTTAATATGTATTAATGCATTGAAAATATATTTTCCTATCTGAAATAATGCCTAAAGTCCTTACCATTCACTCGCAGATCAATTGAGTGGGTGGAAATAAGTTAATAAATCTATATAATTACACAATATCATCTTATTTTTAGAAAAACAGAGGAAATTGGATTAAAAGTTGGCGATGTTTTTACAGTGTTTTTAAACGTGTTATGACTGTAGCTTTGCTAAATGAGTTAAATAGATGTGTTTTTTCAAGATAATTAAAAATAAAAGCATTGTTCACCAATTGGCAAAAAATACTGCCAAATTGGGAAAAACTGAACTCATTTTCAATTGGGAATGGGGCCGAATTTCGGCCCCTGAGAAGGCACTGATAAATCCCTGTTATCTATAGGTGTAACCGTGTCTGCTAGGTCGAGCAGGGTTGGGCATAAACTCTGGGCATAAACTCTCCAATATTACGGTATGAATTTAGCCAATTGAGACATTGCAAGTGGAGAAAGGGATCATGCATCCAAGATTTTATTCACTTTTCCATGCAAAAAAAGTTCTTTAAGTGTGTGTCATTGCTTTCAGTGAGGAATTACCTTGTTACATGACAGAACCGCCATTTTTGGTTTGCACGTGTTTATTTACGGTCACCTAAATGTTTGTAAATGTCTCATATATTTATAAGCGCTTATTCGACTAAGATGCATTCTAAAATTTAAAACCCACCAGTTCAGCTGAGAAAAATCCGGAAAAATATGTCGGAAAAAGACATTATTTTTATTTTCATGATTGGTGAAAATTAGGATCGGCAGAATCGTAAACCAAAAGAAAAAAAACTTTGGCCTTGTTTTCTTTCAAATCTCTAAATGTTTGGAATGCTTACAGCAAGGGTTGATAATATTATTAAGCATTGAATTTGGGGATTTTTATACATTATAAAATCAGGTATTTTGTAGCTGACAATTTTAATGAAACGGTCAAATTTTACATGTATGTTGATCCAGATATTTTCAAGTAAAAAGGTTTTAAAATAGGATCATTGGTCTTTTGATGTATTTACTTCAATCATAAAGAATCTTGTAGTTGTACAGACAGTAAGCAAATAGATCTAAGATCTAATGCTATAATTCATAGGTACAATAATCTGGTTGGGGTTTGACAATTACTGTGGCAGACTTTGCCAGTTTTTGAAATTGTTTTATTTTCAAGGGTTTTTAACTGAAAGGAAGGGAATTTCAGCAAGAAAAATATACGTTTTGCAATACTAGTAAATGTTGCAAGATATGCTGTAATTTTTACAATTGACATCTTTTTGTTTTGTTTTCTGTTTGGATTTAAAAAATCTGTTGTATGAAGTACAAGTGAGATTCAATGCTTTTCATTAGAAACTTTTTGTGTAGTAATCGATACCATGTGTGGAAATGTGTGGAATAGGAATATGTCAGAGGAATAGAGAATTTGATCCCCCTAACCCTCTTAAAAATCTACATGTTATTTACATTATTTTTTCTTATTTGGGTTATTTTAGGTTATCAGACCCAATCACAAGGTGGAGCAGGGTCATATGGTGGACAGAGTGGGGGATACGGACAACAAAGTGGAGGTAAGTCACCCCAAACCAGGTACAGTAAAACAACAAAAAACACCGGGGTTAAACTAACACAGCACTTACTGGGTTCTTGTAAAAATTGTCTTGGTACAGATTAATAGAGAAATATGATCTGCTTGTATAGAATATACATGAGACACCTGGGGATTTAACTAAAGACCTTGTAACTTACAGGTTATCAGGCCCAGGCATCGGGTGGTGGGGGATATGGTCAGCAGAGTGGGGGTCAGGCTGGAAGCTATGGAGGGGGACCACAGTCAGGGGGTGGTGGTTATGGTGGAGGAAGTTACGGATCTCAGGATAACTACAGACAAGACCGGGGCGGGGGATATGGTGACCGTGGGGGCATGAGAGGTAAGGAGTTAAAGATGGGATTATTCTTATTAATTTAGATAATTATGAATGTATTCATTGGTTTGAAAGACTAGAATTAAATAGAGTTACAATCTTGTTGGTGAATACTTTGATGGCCTTACTGAGTGTAAGAGGTAAAACTTGATTTGTGCAGTTCAATCAATTTGAAAAGTGTAAACTTGTGTGAATAAATTGCTATGCTTTGTACATAGGATCTCTTTATTTTTTTCACAGGTGGTCGCGGTGGAGGAAGAGATGGTGGGGGTGGATATGGGTAGGTTACTTTTCATTAGGTCTTTATTTTTTAAGAAGGGTAAGCGCACAATAGGCGTAAACATATTGGGAAAGAAATGTTAATAGGTTTAAAAGCTGGCAACTGTTGCATGCAAGTCAAATGGTGAAAAACTTTAATTTGATATATATTGATTTGAATCTAGATGCAAGGTGAAAAAAAAGGTGAATTCCTGAATAAGATTAAAAAAAAAGAGAGAGTTAAACTGAAAAGCAAAAAAAAAAAGTGTTTGAATTAGATTTGGAGAGGTTATATATATGAATTGAGTGTATGTATATAATTTAACCCATATATGCAATTTTAGAGTCTATTTCCAACAGGTGACCATATGAATCGATGTTGACTATGTATTTTGTTGCAAAAAATTTGTGACCTAATTGAAGGTTTGGTGTAGTAAAAAGCACTCTTCTGTGCTGAACAAATTAGGGTTAAAAATTGGACTCGCTGGTACAGAGAAGGTCCCTGCCCTGTCCCTTCTAAATTATAGTCCCAATCCTGTTTCTACTAAATCTGCAGCCATTTAAATGAAATGACTATAAAGGTTCATTTGCAGACATGATTTTTATTTTGCTCAGCACTTTCAATTGAGAAGTGTCAAGTTTGTAAAACTGCACTTTGTCCAGAATAGCAATAAGGTGTCTATAAACAGTGGTATTTGAAAAGGATGACATGCATAAATGGACAACCCGAAATCAACAGTAATATTAAGAGATCAGAAGATTTCTTCTGTCATGTAAGCACTTTGTATGTACATGTATTGGTTTTTATTTCAATTCAATTTATTGACATCATCATGGCATACAGTCAATATAACAAATGACAGCCAACGGGGAAAAATATAATGGTTACAGAATGCAAGACAAATTCACTCAATTCTTTTTAGTCCATGGATTTGTTTTCTCGGCATAAAGTATCTATCTAAATGGCTACATAAATGTTTTGAAGTAATATAATCACACAGGTTTATAATTTTTTTAATGGAATCAGTACCATGGTATAATTTATCACTAGAAATATCATAACATTGAAGTCAAAGTTTGTCATACACAGGACATAGTTTTTCACTAGAAATATCATAATATTGAAATCAAAGTTTGTCAAACACAGGGCATAGTTTTTCACTAGAAATATCATAATATTGAAATCAAAGTTTGTCATACACAGGACATAGTTTTTCACTAGAAATATCATAATATTGAAATCAAAGTTTGTCAAACACAGGGCATAGTTTTTATTGAAGATTGAAAATCTTGCTTTGCCATGAAGTGTAGCTTTTTTTTTTTTCAAAGCTGACCCTTTGTGAAGTATATTAAGTTCATGTCTATCAGTATGCTCATCCTCTGGAGAATGCACACTTAGACTTACACCCTCTCTAGTTAATTTGTAGCCACTACATTTACATCTGTATAGAAATGTCATCGTGTTTGTAGAGATCATCTACGTACATCACAAAGATGTCATGATAAGAGGTTTCTTAAGCTGACATTTAATTTATTATTTATTGAATTGGCTTTATAATATGATGTTTTTGAAGCAACAAAACATTTTTTAATAAATTTTATTTTACATCGTGATATAATAGAAATTTATTTTAGTTCAGTTTGATAATTTTAGAGAAAAACAATTTCCTTCAGAACCAGGTCTATTGTATATCAGAATGTTTTCCCTCAGCATCAATATTTTGCCTTTAATGGATGAAACATTTTATGGACTATAAAATATAATAAATATCCCTTAGCAGTTGTCTATAATTGGGGCTGCTGAAAGGCCCCATTCTTGATTTAAAGCAGGTACCATTTTTTCCAGCAAAATGTTAATTTTCCCATTTGTCATAACTCCCGGCTAAACTTGCTACACTTGTTCCTGTGTATTACAAAACTGGACTAAAGTTGACTAGAAAACATCAAAATCCAGAGTTTGACGAGTTATAACATATAATGATTTTCCCAGTATTTCCCATGATGTTGCAAATTGTCCCATTCTTAACAACACTGGTCCCTTTGCCAAAGAGTGTTATAGAGCCCTGCTGTTATAAATGTTATTGTGTTATGAGAGTGGATTATGAATTAGTAGAATAAACTATAGAGATCTATTTACTGTTAAATATCTTTAAATGTGACTAAAGTTTTTTGTGAAGAAAGTTTATTTATTGAAGAGAAAAGCAACAGTGATGAATCTTGAGTCGATCAAAGAAGATGCATCATAAAGTTACATTTAACATGTATGTGTATCATATTAAGCATTTAATCTTTAAAAGCCCCTAAGCATGATTCCTTGTAATTAATGGCTGCAGAAATAATATAAAAGGTTTATTAGTGTTGCTTGTCCAGCGAGTCCTTGGGTATAATATATCATTTGGTTTAAAAGGGTACAGCAATAAGAGTTTGCAGGGGTAATACATGTGGCTCTGGTTGTAGTGTACAAAGATTATACATCTGTTGGGTTATGTTGTGAAGTGTTTCTTGTGTATCAAAGAAATATAAAGGAAAATACATTCTGTGAAATGTCGAACATAGGTTTAATATTGTTAAATAAGTTTCAATGTCATTTGATGAAAATACATAAAATCTGTTGCAGATATACACATGTACCTTATGTATATGCTTGAGAATTGTGTCCATAAATAAATTGGTCATACATGTTCAAACTGAAGCAGAAGATTACTAGAAGTACCTATATATTGGTTAAACACATAAAGTATTGATAGAAGCAGGAATCTAAAACACTGTATGCTCACGAACAAGCAAACTGAAAGATAAGGTAGTAGACAAATTGTTATTTAGATGATTTTGATAATCTTGCCTCAATTAAATATACAAAGAATTACTAGTTTTGCCAAAGTACCTTGCTATTTAACATGATTTAAACAAGTTACATGTAATTTTATAGAGATGTTTATATTATGACCCCTCCCCCACTCCTTTCCCCCCGAAAAAGGTATATGTATTGCATTTCCCCCTCCTAAGCACCATTCTTAGACTATTGCAATTACATAAGTAATAGATATTAATAGCCCAATGAATGATTCAGATATCCATATTTTAACAAAAGACTTCATATTGAATAATCATATGGTGTGTATAGTTTTGAGCAACAAGTAATGTGAAAGATAGAAGTCTAGCTTGTAAGAATTTTCTGGTTGTTAGAATTACGGAAAAATGTAAATAAAACAGAAAGACAGAGATTAATCCAGGCAGCAAAAATAAAGTCCCATTTTATACAAAACAGTAGACACTTCAATGTATGTTGAACCAAGAAACTAAATAAGTATACTTTCCCCAAATAATGTAGAACACAGGGTCAACCAGAGCCACAGAGGAGTAGGGCTTTTAAAAACAAAAGGTTAACAACATATTTACTGGAAAGCTAGAGCTTTGGGATTGTGTGGGGTGACTTTGCAACAGTCTACATTATTGTCATGGTTGAGTTTAGAAACTGCCCTGAGTATGAGGCAGTGTTAGGGGTATAGACAACCAGCTACGGATGCTTGACAGAGGACAACAGTTGTCTCGACTGAGTCTGTATGTTATACAGGCTTCAGTCGAGATAATGAACCCACGTATAATTTCAGTGGTGGTCGAGGAGGTTTCAACAAATTTGGTGGTAAGTCAGGTAACAAGGTTACCATCCACATTTTTACAGTCTCTCTGTTTTATGTTGTTTCTTATAAACATTAACAATTGTATCAGCGAGATACAGAATCTATTTGTGTCACTGTAATGGTTAAAAAACAACAAACCAACCTTCCTTACTGACCACAAACTGAGGTTGTTAGTTATAATGAAGTATGTAATGTATCTAGTTTGACTTAAAGTGCAAGTAATACATTGTGAAAAAAAAAGTATTAAGCTGCAAGGGTCGAGAAGATCACATATGTGGTGTCCCAACAGGGCTTTTTCCTTATATAACTGTGACTGATAAATGGTACCATTCCCAATGCAAAAAAAAAAAAAAGATTGGTTTTTCCAATTTCCAGACTAATTCCCAGTTTAAATGTTGAGAAACAGACGTGTGACACTGTACTTCACTAAGTGTGAAACAGTGTATGAGTTGACAAAATTAGTCACTTCCTCTTAAATCAAAAGTACCGGTAGTTAGAAGTCTAATGGCATATATAGCAAGTGTCCGACATTATAAATAACATCTTAAAAAACAGGACAATAATATATAGTAATTTGTAAAACTGTGAATGTTTGAGTATTTCTTAAATCATAGTAAGATGGTTGTTTAATAATTTTAGATTAAATGTCAATTGTTTCTGTGGTAGAAAATTCTCAGTGCATTCTATTTCTACACTGTTTTCCCAAGTTTAACTGGTATTGGTACCATTCACAATTGGTAGCCAAAAAAAAAAAAAAAAAAAAAAACCTGCCCTGTAATACATTAGAAGTGAAATGCTCTTAGAAAGTGTATTGGGACAATGAATGAAATGTTAATATTAACTGTGTACAGGATTATTTGTATGAAATATACAGCACTGTAAAATGTTATCTGTGTGCTTTCTGGGGACTGCATGTAAAATATGATGATTTAAAACCGCATTAACTGTGCATATTACAAAGATTTGAAAAAGACAGCAATGCTGGATTATTAAATTTTATGGTATGAATTCTCTTCCGAAACGGTCTATTCAACTGGAGGAATTTTTCATTTGGAAACAAAAATGATATGAAAATTATAATGTAAAAAGAAGAAAAAAATGACAATAAGCATAATCCTAATGATATTGTTGGCTTTTGTAGGAGACCGAGGCCGTGATGACCGTGGGGGTAAGTATTTATATATTTCTAAACATTTACAAAATATGTCGAGTCACTGTCATAATCTAAACTTTAAGATGTTCAAAGCATGTTGTTTATGTTATTTTTAGGTGGCAGTAGTGGAGATATGATGGTGATGGAAGACACAATATTTGTATCAGGGTTACCTGAAGATATTGATGAAGACGGTCTAGTACAGCACTTTGGCAGCATTGGTGTTATTAAGGTTAGATAATGTATCAGTGTTTGTTTTACTGATATAATTACTATTTATACTTGATTATACACACCATCACAAGTTTGAATGAGAAAAGATGGAGCAGTCATATTTCAAGTGTGCATTAACTGTGACAATACTTCTAAATGTTTTAAGAATTTTAACCTTGAATTTGGCTTAATTTTTGAAAGTTTAAACTTCTGCTGTAGCTTAGGCACTAGAAGAGATGGTTCTCATATTGTGCATTACATGTGACAAGACCATTCTGGGTATTCTGATTTTTGACCTTTTCAAAAAATAGAAAAAAGAAACAGGCCTCGAGACCATAAACTGAGAACAGAATTGAGTCAAAATTTTGATTTTGAATATCTTGAGTTTTATTTAACATACATGCTTAAAAGTTTGTAGGTTTATATAATATTCCAATGAAAACATATGATAAAAATTTTGTTCTGTTATCAAAATTATTTCAAAAGTAATATTGATTTGAAATTTTGACTTAAGTCTGTTCTCAGTTTATGGTCTTGGGGCCTGGAGGGTTTTTCTTACTTTTTCACATCTGCATTACCTGCAACAAGACATTTCTGAATGTACTGGGATTTTGACTTTATGACCTAGACCTCAAATTTAGCTTTCAGAAACTTGAACCTTGGCCGTAACTTTTGCACTAGAACATATTGCTTCAAAAATCAAACTTTGTATAGTATGATGGTTAGACAGGACAATTACAGGAGCCATGAATCATTAGACCTTGAAAGTGGGGAACCTGCTTTGAATTCAAATTCAGACCCTTGAACACAGTATTTTGAGCAATTTGAAAATTTGATATATCATTATTTTTCAAATAAATCAAACTTAATATTATTTTTGAAATAAATCAAACTTGTGCAAAACTAACATTTTTAAGAAGGATTTATTAAAAAATGGAGTCATATTAAATTTCCAGACTGATAAAAGATCAGGAAAACCTAAAGTATGGATATATAAAGACAAGAACACTGGTAGACCAAAGGGAGAAGCCACAATCACATATGATGATTCAGAGACAGCAAAGGCAGCAATTAACTGGTTTAATGGTCTGTACTCTTTATTTAATTTTTCTAAAAAATCAAAATCCAAGACTAATACAAGTTTTATTGCCATTGATTTAATTGGATTTTGTTTTGAATGTAGAGAAAGACTTCAGTGGAAATACAATTAAGGTGGAGATTGCCACGAGGAGAATGAATGCTAACTTTGGAGGTGGAAGAGGTGGCGGTGGAAGAGGAGGATTTGGTCGTGGTTAGTAAAAGTACTAAACAGGGTTTTCTTGTTAATTCAAGTCTACTGGGCCATAGGTCATGTAATTCAGATCAAATTTGTTCAAATCATAGTCTCAAGGACTAGACTGGGGCATCAATTAGGGAACAAAATTATGGACACATCCATAAGAATGAGATGGCCAAAAAATTTGACAGCACTTTAAATAAGATGGTTTGATTACACACTTGAATTTTGTCTACATGTTCAAATGAATTGCTGGGAAAAGAATGGTGACTTATAATGAATGTTGTGGCCCATTGGCTTCTTTTTCATTAGAAGTCAATTTTAAGTCAGTTTGTTTATCTCCTCTAAGTCTTTTCTAGAAATTATTGCATTTGTTTTAACAGTCAAAATGCAAAATCTGAAACAGTGAAGACATTTGAATGAGCACTTTGTAAATTGTTGTTTACCTGATTTTTTGACTTTTACCTTGCAGGAGGTGGTGGGGGCGGCGGCAGAGGTGGCCGTGGTGGATTTGGTGGAGGTGGAGGTGGTGGTGATGGTAAGTACATGTGAACCGGCTCAATGTAAGATAAATCTTAGAGTTTAAAGTACATATCCATCTCTGTATGATTGTAAAGTGAAATGAAACAATTTATCTTTCCTTTTGAAGGTGGCAGAGAAGGAGACTGGACCTGTCCTAATGAGTAAGTATTCAGCTGATGTTATTAACCATTTTGTATTTAATTATGGCAGAGTTAATCTTTCTGCTGCTTTTGTTAAATCTTTTTAACTCAAAAAATATTCCATATACATGTAGTTTTTCATATGGCACAAATGACACTGCTCTATATCTCCAAAAAAAAAAAAATAATAAACCTTGGCATTGAAAATGAGATTGATCAAGAAAGAATATTTTTTTTACTGAACTTTCTGCTTTGAAAAATGATCCCTTGAGGGCAATAAGTGAACTGACACTGAAGACAATTCAATGTCTGTAGGGAATATACTAGGAAAATTATCACTACCTTGATGTATTACAGCACCTATTTGGAATTGATTTTGAATTCAAACTCAAATTTTCTCTTTAAATAAAGACTATTCCCTCATATGCTTTGTAGCAATGGTAGATGATTCGGTCCAGATATGCATGTATAAAAACTCTCAGAGTGTAGAGTCAAGCTTATCTTTATTGGGGTACAGGCAGATTGAAAAATATATACATTCAAAGAAAAAAGATCTACAGATAGTTACATGAAAGCAACTTAACATATTTACTTGTACATTGGAATATGTTGTAAAGTATATATATCGTAGCTTGTGCAGTATAAATTATAGAAGTTTTGTTTATTAGTGGTCTGTACTATAATTTGTGTTCAATTGTTTCTTATAGACAATGTGGAAACAACAATTTCTCCTGGAGGAATAATTGTAACAGATGTAATGCTCCCAGACCAGGAGGGGGTGGTGGAGATGATGGTGGTAAGCTCACTACAGTACTTAATTTTAAGCTTTGGCAATACATCACTATATCTAGAATTATTGTAAGAAAAGCATTCATCAGAAAATATATGATTGGATGAGTAGAGAAATTGCAGGGTTTGGAAATAATATGTAATTAGGGCCCCGCAAGGATTTGCGGGTGTCCTATAGTAATCACTCTGTCTGTCTGTTTGTCCGTCTGTCATTCTTCCGTCCACAGATTTTCTTTTTTTTTAAATAACTTTTTTTAGGGTTGACCAATTACCTTCAAATTTTGTATGTTTGTTGAATAGGCAGTAAGACATTTTTTGATGCTAAGTTTGGTTCTCTGTGTCATCTGGTTTGGAGCTGGGGTGGTGGGGTAGATTCCTTAACTTTATATAAGAGTGAATGGACAAAGAGAGATAACTGCTGAGAATGTTCCTGTTGTAAACTAGGAAAGGCTGCAATGAGTCTCTGGGGATCAATTAACTTTCCTCTTGAAGAAAATCCAAAGCATTTATCTTTATCTGCCACATTGAGATTAATTAACACTTCTGTCTGCAAATGAAGTTTGTTTTGAAGTTAAGGTCAATTCTGAATGATGTTTACATTCTCTGAAATGTGGATTTAAATAATATTCCTAGTTTATTTTGGTAAAATACACATTGAGTTATGATTTTATTGAATTCTAAAAACAAGATATCTTTTTCATTATTATTTTCTTTTTTCTTTTTTTCTGCCTTATGTAAATTCAAGCATACTATTTATTTTAACAGGTATTCAGATAATAACCTCATTCTATCATTGCTGAAAAAGTTCTTATTGTAAACTTAGAAGAAAAGGTTGAGAGAGCAGTATAATTAATCCCCTGGGTTTGATTATCTTGCTGCTTGCGGAAATATCAGAGGGTTCTCTTTCTGTCACTTTAAGTTTGATTAACACCTTTGTCTGCAACTGATGTTTGTTTTGAAGTTAAGGTCAAGCCTGGGTGATATTTGCATTCACTGAAGGCTGGCATTTTAGAAAACACATGCTTCATTCTTCTTTAAATATACATTTAATTGAGTTATTATAGATATGATGTTTTTTACTGCCTTATGTAAATACAAGGAAACTATTTACAGGTTGCTGGATATTTAGCAGTTGCTTATTCTTCTTTATATATTTTTAAATTTTTGTAATCAAGTAAAACTCTCATCCCCTAATCTGCACCCTTATATTACTACCCCTCGGCGGGGCCTTGCTGACTGGTCAGATTTCTAGTTGTTTTAAAAAGATGTTTTTATGTAAATAGAAGTTATATCTCTTGTGTTACATATAAATAGAAGTTATATTTCTACATGGGGGGGGGTGCTTGCCATTTGTTAGACTTGATGCATTTTGTGACTAATTTTCTTAGGTTTCCGTGGTGGCCGAGGAGGAATGAGAGGAGGTAGAGGTGGTTTTGACCGTGGTGGTCGTGGAGGGGGTGGTAGAGGAGGTGGATTCGGTGGCGGTAGAGGAGGTGGATTTGGTGGTGACAGAGGCCGCGGTGGTGGTGGCGGATTCCGAGGAGGCCGAGGTGGAGATAGGGGAGGAAGAGACAGGTTCGTTATTTAATTTCTATGTAGTTCATGTTGTATAATGAATATTAAATATGCTGAATTTAATGTTTTAAATATAAACAATGGAAGTGCTGAGAACTAAACATATGTTAAATAAAAGGACATTAAGGTGTTATTTAATTTTGAGATTAGTAATTAGTAATGAGTGAAGAGAGAGATTGTAGGTGAAGATACAATAGTCATAATGATATTGAATGATTCTTTTTATGAGAATATTTCTGTACCCACTTCTTTTCTCAAGGTTAAAGCCTTTAAAAAATGTATGTTTTATTTTTTCAGGGGAGGTGATATGGGCAGACAAGACAGACGACCAAAGCCATACTAGTTCAGACTGTGACAGCTGTATTGCATTTTTACATGAAACATTGTTGTAATATCATGTCCCATTTTATTTGCATTGTTTTTAAGTGTTTTCATCATCTTTTAACCACTGGAAACTTGCTTAAATCATCAAGACATTTTGTTAATAAATAGTGTGATGTTTATATCCACTGTGTTTTTGTGATCGATGTATTCATTGGGATGATTTATAATAATCATTAAGAGGGAAAAATAAATTAATAAGAAGATAAACTTGTAAGCATAAGGTACAGAAGTCGCCCGTGTGGCGCAGTGGTTAGAACGTCTGCTTTGGAGTCGCAGAGTAAGGAGCTGATCCTTACGTTGTGGGTTCGAATCCACCGTGGGATGTGGAGACCTGTCCTTCGGTTGAGACCAAGGTCCCGTGACGCAGTAGGTGAAAAAGATCCCTCACTGCTCAATGGCCCTAAATGCCGAGTATAGATTTAAATTTGCAGCCCTCCACCGGCAAGTGGTGGCGTCTCCATATGAGTGAAAAATTCTCGAGAGGGACATTGAACAACAAACAAAAACGTAAGGTACAGAATGGAAAAGTGTTCAGAATGGAAATCTGGAAGATGTCAAATGTCATTATTTGCAGCTGGATGATGCCTTTGGTTGTTTTATAAATATACTTACAAGTTTGTAAGTGCTCTGTGTTTCTAAGTTTTAAAATCAAAAGAAAATGGGTGAACATGACGAGCGGAAAGCCTATAGTGTAACAAATATGAAGGTGAAATATTAAATCTCTATTATATAAAAAGTTTTCTCTGATATTTTATCTAATTAAAATATACTTTACATAAAATCTTTACAATTTGCAAAAATCCCACGAAGATTGAAATTATTGGCTTACGAAGTAAGATATACACACTAAAGAGGGCAAAAAGAATCATTTCTAATACTAAAACACTATTTTTCAATATGATTGGGTCTTCGCTCCATTTTTTTTGAAAGTTAATTCTAAAAGTTTGCATAAAAATGGACATTTTTGGGTTACCAAAAATACGGAGCAAAGACCCACTATACCTTAAAATATACTTTTATGACATAACGTTCGCATCTTTTCGAGAAATACTTGAAGTCAAGGGTCATATCACAAACCAATCTGATTAAAACCAGCCCCCCTTCTCCTTTCACTCGTCACTGTCGAGTGAAAGGAGAAGGGGGGGCTGGTTTTAATCAGACTGATCACAAACATGATTTAAATGCTACTATTCATCAGGACTTGTGTTGTCTAGTGGTTAGCATGCTAGTCTACAAAGAAAATGACACTCAGGATTTTTATTGTTAGGGTTCGAACCCCACAAATACCACATTTTTTTTTAATAAAAGAATAAATTTTGCCGAGAAAATTTTTCTCATAAAAGTTTTGTTCATCATAATTTCATATATTTCAATAAGGAGAACTTTACTCTAAATACTACTAAATTCACACAAATTGAACTTTTTATATATATATATATATATATATATATCTGAAGCTCTAGGCTTTCTGCACGATATGTTCGCCCATCTCCTTTGCAGGAACATGAAAACGATTTGATTTTGGGAGCAGATCTTGATGAATTGTATGAATTGATGTGTATGCTGGGTTCAAGATTGCAGAAACAGTATACTATAACAACGCTAATTACTTTTCAATATATTACGTGTTTTAATTTTCCATGTCGATGTAAAATTACATTTGAATCATTGTATGTCGAACTTATTTATGCTAAAAATCCAAACTAACACATCAGTTTTGTCTTTTAGTATAAATAATAACTTTGACGTACAACATGACCTGGTTTGACAACAACTGACATCTTTTGTATATTGAAAGACATCAAGATAATCTGGCATTTGATCATTTAAAAGCTTGACGTTAAATTATTTTATTTTCCAGCTCAAACAAGAAAATTAAAAGCTTGTAGATGTTAAGATATCTCAAAAATTCTAGGTATTCTTGCTCCACTGTGCTAAATACTGTTATTTTTTTTTTTACATTACACCAGACAGTGCAGCGTTTAGTAAAATGTGGAATTCCACATGAAATGGATAAAGCTATGATCATGTGCAAGGGTATTTCCCCCAATGTTTCTAATTTTAAAAAAATATTTAAACACTTGAGCGGATTTTTCAGGATCATCTTACTTTGAGGACTTTAATGGTTCCATACATTTATCCCTATTTTTTTCATGGAATATAAGCTTTTAACAATACACAATCAAAGGTTTAAGACAGGATGCTATAAAGTTTTTAAAAATTCATGAAAATCAAAACTAAGTCTATGCGTATAACAAGTAGAATACATTTAGCCACACAAAGTTCATATTTTCATTCAAGGTTTCTCAATGTCCTTTTGAATGATGAAAACATTTATTTATGTAGATTTAAGTCAGAATTTTGAACATCAAAGAAAGTCTACAATTTCTCAGTATTTTAGAACTTTGATATTTGCATCATTTACAAGCAAATTAAATCCAAAAATTTATACTTAGCAATTCTTTGCTTGAGCAGCACAATTCTTTAATTTAGTAAGAATGTAAAATTATAATGTTTGTAATTCGTAAGGGAGACCAACAGTGTACATGGTTACATCAAGTATTTTTCAACAAGCATACATGTATATACTGTAATTTGATCGTATTAATTATTAATCGTGTCCGATCCTTTTAAAATCTAAACAATAAAATATGTTCAAACCAAACGACACTAACACGGCCTTAGAGTATCCCGTTGATATTATTGCTGTATAATACGAAATCGTCTACGTTGCTTACTTAGATCAGTATTGCTCCGGAAAAAATTAATTTCCCTCTTAACAGTTTAAGGTGAAACAAATAGACCGTGTATCCTCAGATTCTTTTTTTCTACAAACAGTTTTGGTTATATCAAATGAGTTTTCCTTTGATGTTCAACATAACCATTTCTTGCCGTTTCCCCTATAGATCTATAGATACAATTTCTCATCACTATATATATAGAACATTAGTAAGATATCTTGAAAAGAAAAAAAAATTTTGTAGCAAAGCCTTTATTTATTTTACTTATATAAACGTAGATTTAGTATCTATTTTCATGATTTTGAAAAAAAAAAGTTGGTAGTAATTTGGTTTCAGGGGATTCCTTTCCCTTTCCCATAAGAAAAGGTACCTGTATTATACTTCAAGAAGTAAACATTCTTAAAAATAGTTGATCATCAAAATTCATGTATCAATAAATTTGAATAAGCTGTTGAAATTTCTGTGAAGTCCTTAAGAGCTGTATTCATGGTATTTGATTGGTTAGTTCAACGAGGACCTTCTCATAGGCTGTGGTTCTTGCTCGAAGGTCGGTGATTTTTATCTGATTTAATACACCTGTAATACGATAACCTTTCCGTGTCATAGCTTTAATTGTGTAGTTCGTAACTGCACACAGGAGAGCTATCATGTTGTAAATTTTGAATTTACTAGGGGGAGGTAAATGCAAAATTTACAACATGATGTAAATTTTGCATTTACCTCCCCCTAGTAAATTCAAAATTTACAACATGATAGAGCTTTAAATCTGCCACCAAGATCAAGGAGGGATGGAGAGCAACGCTGTACTACCCCAGCCCAGTGCTAATGGACAACACAATAATTGCAAAGAAAAAAAATATCCTTGTGTCGTTTGCAACTATACCATATTAAAAAAAATTACTATAGTTTTACCAACTTTTCAATTTTTATTCATCACTTTTGACATTGTAATAATAATATCCGGTAAATCTGACGATTGGGAGTACCTATTGTAAACTTCTTTTATAAAGTCATAAATTAATAATTATCTGATGAGAAAATGGAAATAAAATTGACCAATATAACAGCAATTAAGACTTAGTTTAAAGCAATTTTTAAAATATTTTACTTATAATTTTTATGCACGTTATCATTAAAATATTTACCGAACTAATAAAAAACAAGCATTCTGAGAGTATTGCATTAGCAATACTAGTCCCCTACCGGCAAGTGTAATCTGGATCCCGTTAAGAATTGAAAATGCCATAATTCCGTTAAAAATCAATGAAGCGGGACGAAATGCAAACTTGATCTATAACTAACAAGCATTCTGAGAGTATTGCATTAGCAATACTAGTCCCCTACCGGCAAGTGTAATCTGGTTCCCGTTAAGAATTGAAAATGACATAATTCCGTCAAAAATCAATGAAGTGGTCCGAAATCCAAACTTGGTCTATAACTAATCAAGGTAAAGTCACATACCAAAGATCAGCTCAATATCTGAAAGCGTTTAGAAGAAAATTGCGGAAAACCCCTAAAAATTGAAAAGGCCGTAATTCCGTCAAAAATCAGTGAAGCGGAACGAAATGCAAACTTGATCTGTAACTCATCAAGATACACTCACATACCAAAATTCAGCTCATTATCTGCAAGCGTTTAGGAAAAAAGTGCGGAAAACCAAGTGGGACAGACTGACAGACAGACAGAGGGACAGACGGACGGACAGACAGACGGACGGACAGACTCAGAGGAAACCTATAGTCCCCTCCGGTTTCACCGGTAGGGGACTAATAAAAGTAAAGTCACATACCAAAAATCAGCTCAATATCTGAAAGCGTTAAGAAGAAAATTGCGGAAAACCCCTAAAAATTGAAAAGGCCGTAATTCCGTCAAAAATCAATGAAGCGGAACGAAATGCAAACTTGATCTGTAACTCATCAAGGTACACTCACATACCAAAAATCAGCTCAATATCTGCAAGCGTTTAGGAAAAAAGTGCGGAAAACCAAGTGGGACAGACTGACAGACAGACAGAGGGACAGACAGACAGACGGACGGACGGACGGACGGACAGACTCAGAGGAAACCTATAGTCCCCTCCGGTTTCACCGGTAAGGGACTAATAACGTCTCATTTCCCCATGTGCATTTTCTAATAGAACCAAAAATAGATTGACCACTGCTGCGGCCGATAATAAGACCTCAGCCGCTCTGTGGATGTGCTGTCGTGATCAGACTGTCCGTCTGTACGATTTTACTTACCTTCTTATGTTTTCTCTGCTCTTGGCCCAAATCTGTTTCATACAAAACCCATTGAGGTGAAAGGGTTGCAATAATTCTAGATAAAAGGTCAAAATCAAAACAGGTCTCTGTGTATATATCCTTGTTCGGTAAATATTTTC